GCGCTGGGTGTCAGGAGGATAGTTTCTCTAATCAGGCACACCTAATGCCGGTTCTCGTCATATTTATACACAAATGTTACAAAGATTACAAAGTGGTACACTCCCCGTTACAATAATTGGTTCATATTTCTTCACCTAGTATGCAAACTAGAACACACGCTCAGTTCCCTTCTCTGCCTCTATCTTTTGAGTAGGTAGTATAATTTGGGTAGGGGGCTTATGGGTCAGTGGTCGTGGGGACCCTGGCCCAAATTACCTTTCCCCTAGTTTCTCAATATTTTGGTGTTGGTAATTGTTTGCTATATGCCTCAGAAAGATAAGGATGTTGCTGGAGGCAATTAATGTCCTCCCTTTCTGCAAACTATGTACATAAGGACCTTGAAGTGTCTTGTAGCTCCTCCTTTTTCTCATGATGTGTAGCAGGTGCTCATTCTAAGAATTGTTAGCCTTCTACCTAAAGTAATAATCAATAGTTTCTTATCACATATAATACAAGTAGGCCTTCCTTACAGGCCTTTCTTCTTGGCTATGTTTTCTTATTATGTATAATATAAGCAGGCCTTCGTTACAGGCCTTTTTTTTTGGCTATGGAGTCACAAGCATAGCAACGCGTGACAGCCCAGGGCCTGGACTCTGTGTGTGCACACACCTGTAGCAGAGCCAGGGACCTCAGCTGCATTCAGCAGCTTTTACCATGAATCTGTACAATTGACTCTACCTTCCATTTGAGAAGATAAAAGTTTTCTTCAGATGCTCCGGTTGCTTATTGCGATGACAGAGCAGAAAACAACGCTGTTTTGTTTGCATAAATATCCTGTCATTTCCCAGGATGTAGGAAATTTGTCCAGAGTCTGGTGCTTGCTGTGAAAAGACATTCCTGTGCTAGCCTAAGGAGCAGCACTGAGCAAGTGATTTACAAAGCTTTAAACTAGTGGCACTTAATCGTCTTGCCAAGAGAGCAACCGGTGCTTTCTGCTTTGTCAGCGTGTCAGGGCTGCATGCGGACCTCAGTCGTGAGGCTGCCCTTACTTATGACTGTGGCTGTAGAAACAGGATGGGGCCATCCCTGCCCCTCGGGCTGCACATCCTTATGGAGAGCACATTTGGCGTAAAAGCCTGTGAAGATGCAATCCCTGCTGCTGATCTCGTGTGCCTGCTGCCTTGGCACTTGGGCACTTTGCACTGATTCCCCGAGGAATAAAGGCCAGGGAGCACCCAAAGGCAAAGTAGCCCAGATGCAGGAAAGATGACGGTGCGCGCACAGCGTATGGTGCTCCCTCTTTCTCACCGTGGTGAACTGCTGCCACTTGGCTGCATACTCCCCACCATCTACCTCTAAGCATCACAAAAACAAACTGGAAAACCCCCCACAAAATGTTCCTGATACAGAGCAGGTCCCAGGGCTGCCAGAGAGGGAGTTTAAGAGCACCTGTGAGGTGCAGAGCAAGTGGAAGGCCTTGCAGCCAGCACCTTTGCTAAACCAAGAGGCGCTGAATTTGAAGGGGAGAAGTGTCGCGCTGTGGACAGGTACCACGCGTACCAGCAGCAGATTCCCTTGCGGGCAGGGAGTGGCACGGTCCCTGGGACGCCCTCCTGCCCACCAGCAGGAAGAGCTGATGCTCCAACATCTCTTTCTGGGATTGGCCATCCTTACACTCGGGTATTTGGGCTGTGCCTCTGGCCGTGGAGAGATTTTGCACTTGTTCACCTCAAGTTCGGAAGTCAGTGCCTAGAAAATTACTGCTAGCAAGAAGGCAGTCCAGCTCCCATATTAAGGCTTAACATGAAGGGAAAAATGTTATTAAATTATTTTAGGGTTTTTTTGGTGTAATTATTACAGGGCCAGGACAGCTTAATTAGACAGAGAAAAACTAACACTGTGACAACACTACCCCACAGTTAGAGGTTTTAACAAAACTCAGCCACAGGAATCAGGAAACCACGCTGACTCTCCTGCCTGTCCTCCAGACAGTTTTAGCTACCAACTCCCTGGGGAGCGAGCGACAGAAAGAGGAGTTACTCACAGTTAGCTGTTCTTCCCGGTGCTCGCCTTACTCCACAGATCAAATCACAGGCAAAGGGCCCCCAGAGCCACACCAGTGCTGACTGGTTGAGCACAATCCTCACGCTGGGCCCAAAAGGAATGTCCCTGCAGCGTCAGCTGTTGGCTCCCAGTGTCATACTGGGAGAGCGCACCAGGTGAAGAGGGGCCCCACGTTGACTTGGGCGTATAGGCTGCCTTCTCCTAGTTCTGGGCAGCAATGACCGAGTAGTGCAAACCTGCTTTAGTCTCCACACAAGGGGATGTGGAAAGCAGGCACATCGCACAATATTATTTGAGCTATTTGTCCTCGTCTGCTACTTGATCCAAAAGGGAAATTTAGAGCGAGAGTCAATAGCAGAGACTGGTCAAATTGTTCTTCCTGCCACTGCAGTGAAGCAGGTGTAATGCTGCCGGGGGAGCGCTCCCAGCAGCCAAAGCCTGTGTCCCAGAGGGCTCTGCAGCCTTGGAGCCCCCTGCACGGGAGGATCCTCTGCGCCTGCCACTGCCCCCTCCCAGGAAAGCACCACAGGCTTTCAGAGGGGCTCAGAGTCAGCTTTCACTGGTTGTGCGCATAGGTCCACAACTCCCGCTCAGCTAAATACCTGTTTGGGAGACTGGTGGGACAGCAGCGGACAGAAACAAGCTCTCCCAAACTGGTAAAGATTAGTTTTGGGGTTTTTTTCCCCTCCCTACCTTTTATTTCCCCTCCTATTCTGGCTGAAGCATACAGGGTGCAGAATTTTCAGACATAATATTTTATTTGCTGTTTTGGCACACTAACGCATTCATGTTTCCAGCCCATTTCACTGCTAACAAATCCTTACGTGTGCAGGAATGTTTGTGTAATCGAAGAGCAATATTTTTAAGAGTCAGGATTGAGCAGTTTAAAGCCCTAGGAGATAAGAATCATGGCTGAAGGCCTGGAAGCTGTGAGATCAACAGAAAATGCAGAACGCCATGTTCAAGGTACTGCCTTTTTCACATACAGAGCCCCTGTACCAGGTACTTTGCCTTTGAATTCACCCTAGGCATTAAGCGTGTTCTTGAGGGCCAATTTGAAACAAGCAAACACGACTAGACAACCCACACAAATGGACAAACTACGCCCCTCCCCATACCCAAACAAAACCCATTTCAGCTGTGTTTCCCATGCAGGGCTGTAAAAACAGTTCAAGATTTTAATGGCCCTTTCCCATGTCCAACCATAAATGGCATCCCACAGTGGAGAGGCGAAGTACCAGAAAATTAAAGCATAACCCAGAGTTCTGTCTGAGGCCTTACACACACTAACTTGTTTTCTGTTGTCAGCCTCGCATTTCAGGAAAGCATTTTGATAACCAACAAGTATACTAGGGACAATAAAAATATTTTATTTTCTGCAAAGCCTTGAAGTTTTCCTAGGCAATGTGAGGAGCAAAGCACTTAAGTAGAAAGTTGGATTCTGTGTCCTAGTTCCTGGAACTGAGACAGGAGATATCAAATTGTGTAAAAATTAAGGTAACTGAGAGCTAACAGCACTGAATTACGTTTCACTGCCTGCAGGTCCCTGTGCTGGCTTCTCTTGCCTTTTAGCTGAGATTCTAAATTTAAGGGTGGTGGGTGGATGTTGCCCTTCAGCAACACTTGGAGGACTGACGTGTTTTGAAAAAACAAGAGCAAATGATACTGCCCTGCCAGAGGGAAAAACAAGGTCAATCATGCTATGCAAATCAGCTCTCTGTTGGAGAGAAAAATCAAAACAGAGGAACCTGCCACCCCACGGTACAGATTGAACATGAATAAACAAAACTTAATTCCTGCTTGATTTTATCACCAGAGAGGGTGAAAGAGGAAAATATAAGGGTGCAAGAATACTTAGATGAATACAGCAGTGACTTTGGAAACCTCAGTGGGTGAAAAATAAACTTGTCGCTCTCAAGCCCTGCATTTGCAGACTAAGAGTGTCCACCATGCAGAAGGCATAGCTGAGAACCTCTGAGGAACTACCAGACATCTGAACATCTTGCTTTTTGCTGGAGGCTATGCAAGAAGTATCCTGGCTCTGAATACTGTTGCTACCTTTTTCTTGGGTTTATTTTCAGTTCTTGGCAGAAACCAGTAATGAAAGGAAATACACCAGTGCTGACAATTCACCTGTAATATCTCAGATCAGGTGAATAGTACGTGTGTATTTCTAACCTTGTGGTTTACTTACTTAAAGGCTAGCTTATAACTTACTGATCTGTCAAAACAAGACTAATTTTAACTATGGAGCAATATTTACAGCAGATCTTGGTGAAATCCACATCTCACATTCAAAGATCCGACTTAATTTCCCTGAGCCTAGGAGAACGACGGGAGCAGCAACAGGCACTCCTGCGGGGGATCACATTTTACTGAGGCAGGAGGAGCCCTGAAAAGCTGCACGGCAGAAGGAAACTTACGCTGTCAGGAATGAAAATGTGAAATCCACTAAGCTACCAGAGGGGAACAACACAAGCTGTTACAGAAATGCCAAATGCCTGAAAAATATTTCAAACAATTGCAAATTTTTACTCGATTACTCTATCCAATGTCCTAATTAGGTGAATGAAAATGATTTTCATTCCGGTGTGTATTGAAAGAATGGACATGATGCCATACTCATTTTCAGTTCAAGTTTTACTCCCAGTTGCACAAAGGTTGAAAAGATTTTTTCAGAGTTAAAAAACCAACATGATAATTTTGGTTTCATGTATAAAACTGGGCAACTCCAGGGATACAGGGGTTGTGTGACTGTTCCAATGTTCAGCAATAAAGTGTTGCACAACCTAATTTCATCTCACACATTGACTTTTTTTTCTAAATTATCTGCTTCTCAAATTATAACTGTACAACCTGCAGAAATCTAAGGTTAAAATATTTTGATAACATACCATGTTATGGAAGATTCCAATGACTTAGTACAGATTACAGTACAAAATAATGACAAGTCAGAGCATCGCTAAGAGTTTATTCATAAGCTTTTACTTTCAGTTCTTATATCACAAAAGACATGTTTAATGTTTACAACAAGTATTAGAAACTGAGATGTTTTTATTTCTACTATTATAAAAGTAACATAGGAGACCGTTCTAAGCCATCTTCAAAACGCAGACCAATCTTTTTTTTTTTTTTTGTATATAAACTGTACACAAAAAACAAGGCACTATACATTTTTGGATAATAAAGTATAAAGGTTGATTCGCATAGTTTCTCAAGAAATCCATGCTATAAATACAAACGCTTTGTTCAGTTTAGCACCTGAAGCAGCACTGAGAACAATTCATTACCTATTGCGAAGAGAAACTTTTCAGAATGCGTAGGAGATACATACGGTGGTTTAGCTAATTCAGTACAAGCAACTGCCATCCAGCTACTTTTCTGTAGTTTTGACATTAAAGTCTTGAAAGTGAATATATATTGCATTGTTAAATACATACTTGTTCTATGTGTTTATATAAATATAAATTCTTTGTAATCCACAAACTAACAAAATAACACTTTACAAAGAGAACTTCTTCAAAAACAAAAATGGCAAGTATTGTATATAGCCAAAGGTCACCTACTGCAGTAGCTCAAGAAACTACTGTTTAAGTGCATAGGAGAGCAGAGCTTAAACACATTACCTTTAAGAGTCAAAACTGAATTCCATTTCCAAAGAGTTCTCTTGGCCTTTTATAATATTACACACCTCCAGATAGGTAGTCACTAATAACTTCAGATTATTTCTATTTATTTTGTAAATGTGGGGTACAATTCTTCTAAAGGGCACAGAAAGTGAAAAGAGCCATCCCTTTAGTGCTCACTCCAAGAAACACAACTTAGAAAAGTCCTTTTGCCTTCTTCAGATTAACCTGCTTCCAAGATGGCAGTGCATTGTACTCGTCTCTCGTCATCTCTAATGCAACCTGCATTTAAAACCAGAGGATATGCCATTAGTAAAAACACTTACCAGTAGCAAATCCGTCAAATGACTTTACAGCATGGTAAGACACACATGCAGAAAGTAACAGCGCGCCCATTCTCTCCTTACCTCAAAGTCCTCATCTGAAAGATAAATTTCAAGCTTCAGTGGATCAACTCCCTCAGGGAGAGGCCTAGCTAAGAGATCTGCTAGTGGATACACCGTTTTACACAGCTTGGCCAGCACGTCCTCCACGAGGATTATCTGATTAGAAACGTCAGCATCCTGTAGGGAGAAAAGGAAAACAGAGACACAGGATCACAATGCTGAAACCACCAGCTGCTCCCATTGCGGCCCGAGGATGGTATGGGATCACCCTGCACAGCCTGGCCCACGGAGCACAAACCTATACATCCAGGCTCACACACAGGCAAAAGCCCTGCCCTACAACAACTTCACATCAAAAAAAAAAAAAAAAGTCTGCACTTGCACTTAGCAGAAGGACATCCTGTGCTCTCAGAATCTCAGTTTAAGACTGAATTCTGTGTTTAGTTGTGAAGCCAGCATTTTCCACTAAGGATGGCTGCAGAAGACTTACAAAGCAGAAAATGTCATTTGCTTTGAGATGCCCCTTCACTGAAGGCCTTCAAAGCAGTCACACATAATTCAGCTGTGACTCCACTTCCTGGGTGGGGAAGTCAGTGCTGGAGCTCTTGGAGCCAGCTGATCCTCCGCAGGGCGTTTTGCTCACTTTGAGCCTGGAGGACAGACCAGAACTGCAGGTTGCTGCCTAACACGACTGAAACAGTTGTTCTGCTAAACTCTAGCAGATCTCTTAGAAAGAGATGATTCAGGTAACATTTTCCTCCTGTTTTTAACAAAAAAGAATATGAAAAGTTACATGAAAAAACAACCAGAAATGCCTCTGATATCCTCACTCCCAGTCAGAATTTACCTACATTGTTATTTTTTTCCTGTGCAGACTCCTGAACTCTACTTTGTAAGTTCATCCCCTGGATTTTGGGGCTTGACAGCACAAACAAGCAATGTCACTGACAGCACAAGACACAATTACTAGCAATAGGAAATGGTCTATGCAACGAAAAGATTTACCATTTCTGTGATCTCTGCGATGTCTTCCCTGTGTTCCCAACTTGGGAACATATTAGTGAAGGTCAGAGGCTCTAGGCCAGCATGAATTAGATAGGATTTGGGGGGCTTCTTTACGTTTTTTCCTAAAAAGAGTCAAAACACAAAAAAAGAAGAGAGAAATTACAAACAGTACCATATTTTGCAATGTCACCAAGTATCCAAAGCTACCTTGTTAGCATGTTTAATTGATTCCTTCCTGAAAAACTGAACTAATTTAAGGCAGTAGGCATAAATTTCCCCAGGATTTTGTTTTAATGTAGTATGGCACCTTTTACATGTTTTTCAGTATTCTTAAATCTGCCTTTTACTGTATCTGACCACAGAGATCAAACCAGGTATGCTGAAAATCCCCCCAGTTACTTCCTAAATCAGTGTATCTCTTATCTCACAAAAATAGAGTTAGAATAGAGTAAGCAGAGTGTGATGGTCTGAAATTAGCCAACTTCAGGTAAATGAAACCTTCTGGTATGCTCAGCAGAAGTGTCCTGCCAGCAGCAAATAAAGCTTAAGCTTGGAAGCTTAAGTGAGAATGTTTAAACTGTTCTTAACTTGGGATACTGAGGTTTAACACAATCATTTTGTTATTACAAATTCAAAGGAATGGGATCTGAAAGTTAACAGAGGTATTGCAATAGCTGGATGGTAATTACTGATGATTTTCAAAGACAGTCCTGCTTCTTTAAAACCTGTATGTATGCACACTATATAGGACATGGACATAACCCTGCCTAGGAGTGATGCTTTATCAGATTAAGTGGTTAAAGTCATTATACCAAGTCCTGGTGAAAAAGGGCATATTGGATGAATGATTTCATTCCCCAAGCACTGATAAACTCCAAATATTACTGGAAAGAGGTAGACAGGCAGTCAGGGACTGGGAGGAGCTCTCATTCAAAAAAATATTGTACCTTCATCTTACTTGGATTCAAACAACTCAGTCTAATCAAATGTTTCTTCCAGATAGGCAATGGAAAAGCTGAAGATGTTGCAAAATCCAGGATCAGGTGAAACTAACAGAGCAACGTGACACCAGATCACTTCGGAGGGCCGTAGCTTCCCTAAAAACTGCTTCTTGCAAAATTCTGTTACTCCCTACATTCAATCTCAGAGCATCTTTAATGCACTAAGATTTCCTCCGAAGTGTATAAATCCATTGTATAGAAGACCATGTTTTTTACTGTAGTCCCTACCTGCACTTCATGCGTGTGGGCTGGCAGGCAGGAGGGTCTAAAAGAACATCCCATAGCTGAGCCTCTTCCCCATAGCTGAGGAGCACCCCAGGGAAGAGGTGCAACACTTCTGCCAACTGCAAACGGGTGCCTGGCTGGATATCCTGGTTCCATTAGGTTTGCAAACCTGAACATTACAGGTTTGGCTTTGCATCAGATGTTGGGAGCAAACCAACTAGAGAGTATATGTTCACATGGAACTCTAAATACTAGAGGTAAAAGCTCTGTGAAGTAGTCTAATAAGCGTATTAGAACGTGAGTGCTTTAACTATACAATTTAGACAGGAGATTTATCATTCGAATACTTGATTTTAAGCCTTCTCCTCCACATATTTTCACTGTGGTTTATTTGTTTATTCTACTATGAATGATTCAACAAGTACTTAAAAACTTTGCATTTAAAAAGTATGTGTGAATCTGCTCTAGTTGCATTGCTCCACTCTCAGTAACTCAGCCAAGAGATAAAAGGAGAGTGGTGGTTGCTAATGTGCCAGTATAGGCAAGATGATCTTTTATGTCAGTGGAGAAACATTTTCATTGCATGAACTCTGCCCTCAGCACAAGCTGATCTCCTCACTAAGAATCACTGAAGGGCAAACCAGATTCTTCCCTCTCCTAGCAGTCTGCAGCTCAGCTCTCCAGACTGATGATTTAGCTGATGAAACCACAGAAAAACTTTCAAGACATTTTGACAAGTTAAATAAGATATATGCACAAGAAGAACTGCTAGGTATATCCAAGGGATATCCAGAGCTGCTAATCAATGTCTTTCATACCATCACGTAGTTAAACACTGCAAGCCAGGAAAAGAAAAAAAAAAGGGGGGGGGGGGGGTGGGTGCAGGGAGGCAGAGGGACATCGATGAGGAAAGACATGGAGAGAGAAAAATAAGAGAAAAGTGGTTTAATGCTTCTGATCACTCAACTATATTCTGGTAGTCAAAATAATTGCAGCAGCACTGGTATCTCCTGAAATTCAGTTTCTCCACCTTGGTAAGTAACAACACATAAGAGCTAGTCAGCCCTGACAGCTTAACGCAATGAAATTTTAAAGTGGTTGACAGAATCCCAGATCATGAAAGTGATAGACCCCCAGAACAGCAATAGATTGAACAGTAAAAAACTGCTAAAGAAGTTCACATCAGCTTTCGCATAGAAATAGTACAAGTAGAATCAGTCTTTAACAGTTACAAACTTGCTCTGTACCTATCCAGCCACACAGCCCAAAGCTCTTGACAACCACCCCACGGCAAAGAGGATAAAGCCACAGCTGCTGCGAAGTCATGGCAAGTGGTAAAGAAGTGAGCACGCAGCAAAAAACCTTGTCCTATGATACATATGCTAAATTTCAGACCCATAAGGAGTCTGAGAGCTTTCCACTGTGCATGAAACTCAGATGGAGCAAATGCAATCCAGTGCAGAAGGTATTAATCCCTTTTCCCATCACTGAACTTGATGAAGTTCAAGAAATCTGGAAAAGTACCCAAACCTTGGCACGTGAATCTGATTCCATCTCTGCTGGGGCCAGAAAACATCATTTTCATTACCAGAAGATTACAGCACCGCATCAGGAAGACTGAGACAGGGATCTTACTTTCATCTCTCTTACTAGCCTGCTGAGCAACTCTGGGAACTTCATTGCATTGGGGCTCTGTTCCTCTGTGCTGAGGTTCACTTCTGCTGTGAAGCACATTGTATGATATGATTTCAAAGAAATGCATCTTACCACTCCTCCTGAATTGCAAAAACTGGGGGAGGTAGAGAACAAGTAATTGGCCTCCTATTTAGGAATTCAGCAGTCACTACCAAAGATTTCTTTAGCACACCATTCCTAAACAAATGCTGCTGTTTGGCAGGGCAGTACCAGGGACACCACAGGATGAACGATGTAGAGCAGTAATGCAGTCCAATAAAGGTCACATTTCAGCGTCTCCGGTACTGGTTTTCAGCTGTGTCCTGCCAGGTGTTACCACCTCACCTCAGTCACACAAGACAACCAAGTAGAAACACAATACTTGCTCCCACTCCTATTTGACCTGCAGATTGGGAAGGAGAGACTGGCTTATCCTCATAAGGGTGGAATCCAACAAGGGGATCACTTTCCCTCTTCAAATACACGAATGTCTATGGGAAAAGATGACAGATACCACCAGCTACGTCACAAGTTGGAAAGTTTTTTTGCTACAGAAGAAATCAGTGGCATCATGAGGTCTGAAGGCCAGAAGTGATCAGGCTTTCCTTGCAAGAGGGCATAGTTTGCACCAATTAAGCCCTAGTGACTTACTCACAGTGGGAAACTGCTCTGAACTAACAGAACATTGCTGTTACTTATGCCCTCTTTCCTGGATGGTAACTCCACAGCTTGCTTTATTCATCCTCCATCAGAAGATGCAAGGTCTGTTCCCAGCCTCATATAACCTTAGACGAAGCGAGTGGAAAGCATTACAGTGGCTCAAGGAAACTCTACTAGTGCAAAAAATAATGTGGTCAGTATACTCTTACATGTTCATCAATTGCAGCTTGAATCACTGCATGCTGAGTGGCAATAACTGCCTTGTAGAAATGGCATTTCCAATGGCCACCTTGTTCTCAATCTTCAAAGTCTTTCCACCTTGCCCACTAAATCAAAACCCAGTTACAACAGCAAACATCTTCATTCAGTTTTCTGATACACAGAAGCTTATGAAATCTAAAAGGAGCTAGACAGAAAGCATTCAAGTTTAAGAGGCTGTGTTCTCAAATTCGCCTTTAGGTATCTAATATCTGAACTGTTCTCCCACAGTGGGGACACAGAAAAGAAATAAAGCCTTTCCTCTGAGAACTGAGTCCGCAGAGTATCTTGGCAATTTGGGAACAATGCCATTACTACACAAATGGTTTGCTAAGAAAGAGCAGAGAATGTGTCTTCAAATATGCTGATGTTTACCAATACCGTTGGGGAAGCACCTGAGTACCTTTCAGCTCAGGACAGTAAGGCATGGAAAGGTATGACACACTCAGAACAGCCGGGCACAGAATCTGTTACCTTTGCAGTACTGGAGCACTGTCTCCATGGCGCATTTCCTGTCTGTAGCCCACCTGATTCGAGCTGATCCAGCGATTTTGTTTTCCACAGGCCACCAGCCTTGCCATAGGTACACTTCATGGTGATTGTCAACAAGGAAGAGTGCTACAGAGCCAAAAAATAACAAATCCATCATCAGCCACTTGTGAGTTCTCAGAATCCCCTAAACAACCCCAGTCTCACATGCTTGTCAGCATCAGGACAGGATCATTTCAAAGCTTACCAATTCCTTTTTGTTATTCACCCAGCTGAACCTCATCTGAACTCAGATTCTCTGATATAAACAATGTATTTTTATAGCAAGCTTTTGGGATACATGTACATTTGATTAGTTCTCATCATCTTTCTCATAGAAAAATTACTGTTATTGCTTAATGCTGTATAAGCATCACATGCACACATTGTCCTCTGATAAAGCAAGTTAAAAGTGATTACAGGTACTGAATCACTGCCCAATACAGGATACAGTTATCTGTTTTCTTTTTACTTCAGTATTTTAAAGCATATACCTGGCTGTGGGGCAGTGTAAAGATCCTCTTGCAAGAATGGCATGGAATTGATGACAGCAGGGTCTCTTGAAGGGTAAACGTACTCGGTGGCTGAGAATTCTCCTGATGAACTACTGAGGCTGAACAGGCGGGGGGTGAAATTAAACTTTCCAGGATCTTTAAAAAACAAAATTTAAGATTTCCAATAGAAAATGACAGAGATGAATGTAAAAAATAAAAATAATAATAAAAAAGTAATCAACTTTCAAAGTGACTGTAAATTCTCTGTTGTTTTTTTTTTCCTAAATCAAGACAGACGACCAGATGTCTTGGGGGACTAGCAACAGCTGTGAAGAACTTGAGCTAAAAGGCTGGCTGCCATCAGTTTGAATCTGATCCTGGCTAGTTACTATCAACCATTTCACAACTGGCTGTTTTGCAGCTTAAGAGAAGCAAGTCCATCTCAGAGTTTACTTTTTAGCTGACGAATTTTCCACTTGGTAAATCAATCCCCCTGCAACCTTTGTTGGCAGTTTCAAAGCAAAGACTGCACAAGAATGCGCACAGAACTGCCTCCTAAATCCCTTCAGAAGAGAACCAAAATGTGTTGTTAACAGCGTTAACTGTTGCTCTGTGCTGCGTGAATACAGGGGGGCTGCAGAAGGGGGGAGAGAACAAAATGAAACACTTTGTTTTCCAACACTTTCCTTCTAGAACAGCATTACTTAACTCAGATTTTTGGAAGGATCTCTCTGAAGGGATCATCTCAACTACCAAGAAGTTCTTCAAAAGCTTTACATTAAATCTCACAGTACCGTAGACCAGTAAAATAAAATGTGAGTGCCAAATCCAGGAATGCAGGTTTACCTTGCAACATGCAATCATAGGCCTTTCGATCTCTCCTTCCTAACGCGTCCCAGAATCCCAAGGGCTCTGACCCTTCATCACATTCATGTATTGTCACCTTGCTGCTGCTGTGCAGCCCTGCCTCCAGTGGACATCTACAAAACACAGAGAAAGAGAGTGAACCCAGCTTTCCTGCCCCGAACACAGCTAACACAAACCTGCTGGCCACTTGCATTATTAGAACCCAAAAGCACCCTATAGGATTGTTGCACACTTCATGTCAACATAGGTTTTTTGAAAATGATGACAAAAATTATCAATAAACAAGATACGGAATTTCAGCAACCATTGTCATACCATTTCTGATCACATACCCAGAATGGAGGAGATGCTCTCATGAGCTCTCAGTAGGGATTCTCACTGCTTGTTTTTGTAACTACTGCTGTCCTCTTTACATGCTTTCCCAAATTCATTTCCTCTTCCTTATTCACAAGCCTTGATTCTAATCATCCTATCAACTGGGATTCAGTTTGCGATTCAGATATCGAGCATCTCCCTCCAAATGGAAAGAGACTGGTGTTTTTGTAACTGTAATTAGTACAGTAGGAAGAATAAGTGCATTTGACCTTAAGCGAAAGTGATTACGGAACATGTGTTTTCCCCATTCCACTGAACTACCCGCCATTCCTCCTCCTTACCAAGCATGCACATGCTGCAGTTGTACTCAGAGGACAGCTTTATTTATTTCAACATTACTTTTCTTACTATTTTAAGTAAATTGGTAGCCTGTATAAACATGTCCAAAACATAGGTCAGACACTCACTGTTCTTTTATTTTATTGGCTGCTGTTCTTCCTACATCCTTGGTGTGAGATTGTGCTTTGCAGCCATGCCACAGGTAGATAAGAGCTTTATTTATATTGAGGACAATCATGGATGTCCGGGAACGCAGGCTGCTGCAGTGACATGCTACTTCAAGTAAGTTTCCTTCATTGGGAACTTCTCCTCGCACGCAATATAGCCTCCAGTCACCTGGAGCAGACAGGAACAGTGCAGCAGTATTATACAGTCACATGGGATTGAAAATTCAAGACCTCTGCTCTGGAACAGCTGTTCTTATACTGGATGAATTTCACATTGCACGCCTATATTGTCACAGAATGAACTAGCTAAGCACCAGGTTTGGCTAACACTACTTGAGAAACCCTGTTGCAGAAAAGATGCCTTCTGAAACCTTGCTACAAGAGTACAAGTATTAAGAGTTGAAGAGCTTAACAGAGCTGAAGAGTCAAGCTTCTGCTCTGTTTCATACAGGAAAAAAGGGGAAACAAACACAGCAGTTCTTCTGTTCAGCTCCTTTCCCCCTCTGCACTTTAGGCATAGGAGGTCACGTTCAGATGCGAACTGGAACATGTCCAAGCTACACCTGGATTGAAATTCTCCTACCTGAACTGCAGCATTCAAGGAGTATGTTGCAAAAAGTAATGGGTAACAAAAGCTTAGAGTTCTCCTTGGAAAAGAACTGCTCATAAAAATAATCTTTTGCCCAGACTATGTAGAAAAGAACATATTTTAAAGCAAACGGGCACTTTGCTAAAGTAAAAAACAACTAGAACAATTTATATGCATATCAATGCAATAAAGTCAGCTTGCTCTAGGGTGACAAAATCCATTCTATGCTCAAAGAAGAAACAAACTACCTTGAAACAAAGCATTGCAAAGCTGTCTCATGGGTTTCATGGCATTCATGTCCCTTCTCTACAGAGTATGGTAGTTGAGACTGAATTCAAAGCCCTTCACAATAGGTAAAAAAAGGATTTGGGGGCAGAAGCTCTTAACTAACAGTTATTTACTTTGTGCATTTTCTTCTTCCTCTTCCCTTCTTCCAGCATGCACAATCATCCCTCCTTGGAAGCACTGCAGGAAGCACGGTGGTTCTTTCCCTTGAAGCACTTGTACCTGGAAATTGAAAGCACCACTCTTCATTAAAAAATGAAGCAAGTATACAGGCTCAGGAAAACTCGTCTCTATGGATTATTTAAAATTATATAGTTATGGCCACCCACAAAGATGGCTTTCCTTCTCCTTTACTACTGCTGACTATTGTTTAAATTACCATATATATTGGCATGCAATGGGTTTCATATGTGACCTGCATATTAAAAGATAATTCTAGCTGGAATCCAACAATCAAGAGTTTCAGAGGATAAGGAATACCAAATAAACTTTAATTTAAATTAGTTTAACCATTATTTGAATTCTTTACAGGACTGGGCTATCTCGCCTGATGTTCTTTGTGACTATTATGGAGATAATGTAGGAACTGAAGTAGGTTCAAAATTTTCCGTAAAACTTATATGACAACATGCATATAAACATTAAACATTGCATTTTGGTTATGAAACTGATACAGCCAATTGCTAAATCAGCTATGTTGCACAGAATCCCACACTCCCTGGATGAAGTGTTTTTATGTATCTCCTCTATGAACTCCTGTGTTACTGGTCATGTCTACGCTGCTGTTAAAAAACTAATTACAGCATTATCAAGGTACAGAAACTAACTTTAAACCTTGCATCTTGTATGCCACAGCATACCCCAACTCTGCCTAAAGACAAGCAAACTAGCCTGTCCTCTGAGCTTCAAACTAGCTGAATCTGCAGTTGCTAGAATATCTGCAAAACAAACTAATCTACTCTGTAATTACAGAGTAAACAAATTGAAAATTTTAAATGTATTTTCATGCCTTGGCCTGGCAGAAAGTGCTTCTCCTGTTCTCAGCACTAGGAAGACAGTCCTGTTATCTGTACTTGAAGTGAAAGCATAAATTTGTTTAACTGTGCTTCACCTATTCCTGCAGGGAGAGGAGAGAAGATGTTCTTCTTTAGCTATTCTCAACAATATCATCTTTAGATGTGGGATTTAGGAATGACAATCCATAAAGGAGCTTATGTGTCTCTGGAAGCTGGAATAAAGCCAAAAGTAATTTTGAGGTCTGGCTATTTGTACTGGCAAGAACAACTTTATGGAAAGAGAGGAGGCAAAAAAGATAATCCACATTTACCATTAGTAGCTACTTCGGCAGGCAAGTCTTACCAGGTCTGCCACCTAGGTCTGCAGGAAGCTCACCTGTGCTCCTCTTTCTTCATCAAGTTCCACTGTCATCAGTGCTGATGTCCCTTTCTCACTCACTGTGGAGTGCCTTCCTTGCCAAAAGAAATACACGCATTTTTCTTTTCCAACAGCCCTTACTTGTTGCTCTCCTTTTTGCCTGCTTCCAACTGCAAAACAGAAAGCACATGCTGAAGAATGGACTCTGGCTACAGGTTTAAACAGCACGTGGTTTAATCTCATCTGCCAGCTCAGCACTACCCCGTCCAGAACAGGAAAGATAAAATGTCCAATTGGAGGAACATTAGGTCTCCAAGCCAGTATGTCCCCGTGCAAAGTTGGCATTGTCTCATCAGTTGGATGTAAGCCCACAGGCAGAGATGCCTGTGTTGGCCAGAGAAAGAGATGTAGAAAGAACTGGTGCTATCTGGAAAAAAATAACTGACATCACTTGAGCCAATTTGCATGTGAAATGGTATGTCCAGTCATGTTACCAGAAGAGTGCATTATGGCTCATTTTCCACATTATACACTGTTCTTTGGCAGCAGGAGAGTAGCTGGCTGCGGAGTGATACTGGAAACAGCAACAGCTGAGAAAGCTATGGGCATAAAAGAGAAGTCTTTCTTGGTGAAGTGATATTGGAAAGGAAAACTACAGAACAAAAGAACACCAAAGCAGTATTTTGCAGTCATAAAAAAGTTAGGATTAGGTAAATTTTATTTATTTATTTATTAAAATTAGCTCAGTATTTCATGTTGGTCTAGAAAGTGGCTTAGCAGCAACTCTTTTTTTTTATTTTTTAAAAAGGATCATTATATATTTGTTACGATAAGCAAATGTTTACAGTAAATGAAGTTCAACAATACAACCAGTTATGGAATATTTTACTCTTTCCAGTGAATAATGAATAAAGAGATATAATTAAATCAAAGATTAAAAAAAAAACCAAAACCCTAACAGCTTTAAACCAGATTCTTAAAAAAAAATATTAAAAATTCTGCTGCAGTGCTGAGCAGCATCCAACTGAAATACTTAGGAGAAAGCATCCTGTTTTTTTCAAGTTAAGAACACTCAAACCACTAGTAACTTCTAAAATTTATGGTTTGCACTCTTATCTGTTCATTCAGCCCATAAAAGTACTGCCTCCTACATAAAAATTTATGCTGTTTTGGAGTGATGGAATATATTTTCATCCATTTGGATTAGGACCCTGTTTACAGTCCAGTATTAGTGTTACCCACATCTCCCAAGATTTACAAGCTTTTGTATTTTTCTTGGATTTGCCAGTATCTGAACTCAATGATCTGGAATAAGACTTACCTACATTTTTTGGCTAAAAGGCTGAAGCTGTATAGCTGTTATTCTGCTTTCAACCAATTTCAATGTTTTCCTATTTGGAACAATTATTTTTAGACTATTTCTATTTTATTTACCACAAAAGCCACCTATTCTTATTTTAGTGCCAGAAGGGAGACTTCCAATGAGCATACTGAGCTGACTGATTGTCAACATTAACCTGCTGCTCTCAGGCTCTTTGTCAGAACACTGCTAAAGTTTTCCACTTGAGACTGAAACCCATAGCAAAGGGTTTCCAGAAACAGTAAAAAGGACAGCAAGGGCAATCAGTTGGCAAGGGCTTTTCCTGTCATTGTTACTGTTCTCCATTACCCAGCAAAGGCTTTCCTTGTTGCTAAGCCTACCTCTCTTGCAAGACATTCAGACCACTGTCATTAGTCCAGCTGCCTAGTTATTTTGGTGTTAAGCTGTGGGCACAATTCTGGCTTAATGAGCTGTCCTGTGAACACGTACAACACCACTGTTGGGTAAAAGGAGAGATGGACAGTATTACATTTGATGTGTGAAAAATAACTACAAACTTTTTTTTAAAAAAATGCTTTTCTTTTAAATAAAATAATAAGCACTACTTCTTAATGGCCTAGGAAGGCTAAATTAGCATTTCTAACCTTTAAAACAGTTTCACATCCAAGGAGGTCTAGGTCTGGATGTCACCACTAGCAGCTGGGTAAAAGGAGAGATGGACAGTATTACATTTGATGTGTGAAAAATAACTACAAACTTTTTTTTAAAAAAATGCTTTTCTTTTAAATAAAATAATAAGCACTACTTCTTAATGGCCTAGGAAGGCTAAATTAGCATTTCTAACCTTTAAAACAGTTTCACATCCAAGGAGGTCTAGGTCTGGATGTCACCACTAGCAGCAGCAGGTCAGCAGGATGAAATGGAATTGTTCACTAACCTGTAGTGCTCACCATGTACTTCCACTTCACCACATATGTATCTCCCTCATGGAACTGCCCTATGCTTTGCTTAGGCAGTCTGCTATAATCAAATTCCAGGATGTGCCAGACATCCACAGATGCAGTGATAATTTCAAACTGCCTCCCATCTTCTCCTTCTACAAGTCCATAGCCCCGGCCAATATTCATTCCATCCAAGACTGTGCCTACAGTCGTTTGGGGCACAGCTACCATTAGCATCACATCATATGGTTTAGAGTCAGATCTGGATTCTTCCTGTCAAAAAACACAGAAGAGATTTCTTAGAGCATAGCTTTTTTCTTCTTACCCCACAGTTCCCCCCAACAGTTTGCCTCCTGCGTATTTCAGTACTTTGATATCTTGTCACCATTTGCTGCCTTGTCAAAGCCACCTTGGCAGTGTTCATTGAGCTGCTCGGCACTAATATAAAGCAACTCGGTGGGTTCACTCTAGGTGGTAATGTTCAGACCCCTAGGTCAAAGCCCGCAAGATAAAGAAAGTGCTCTGGATCCTTGAGAGCTTCCCTGGCTTCCATCCCAGCTAGGTCATCTAGTTTGAAATACCTAGCATGCTTATTATATGCACCTTCTGGTGAAGGGATTCACTAGAATTCTTCTCATTGAATTTCTTCAGCTCTGTCCAATCAAGAAATTTTTCTTTGAACAGTATGGTCTCGTTATGTTCTGTGAGTCTGCCAAACACAGCCCAGTCTGGGCGTCCTTGTCCCTTTCTGTACAAGGGAACAAAAGAAATAAAATCAAATTAAACACTGTGAAATAAGGGCAAGAAAACTAAGTTTCTGCAATGAGACTAGAGTCAAGTTTTGATACCTGGGTATGAGGGGATTGCATTCCCCTGGGTCCAGAGGATTTATGTCACAATTGGAGTAGTCAAATGTGCCATTCCACAAGTGTTTTGCCAGCTGGAATGCCACTTTTCTTTGTGCTAAAGTAACTTCCTTTCCATGCCATACATATACTTCACTGCCAAAATCAAACACCAGCACCTAAAAACCAAACAAAACAACAACAAAAAAAACAACCTACCATTAGGTTAGGTGGTACCCTGATCCTCCAGTTTCCTAGTGCTGCAAGCTGACAGTGCGTTGAACACAAACGCCTCCAAATATCTGAGTTTCTGAAGTGACACTAACAACCAGCACTGCAATTGCAAGTAAGGCCAGGGCAGTGGTCTGCACAGTGACGTCTAATTGTTGTGGATGACTGGAAGCAAGTATGGGGAATGCTATGAGGTATATCTTTAGGTGGTAACTTGCTGTCCTGGTTTCAGCAGGGATAGAGTTAATTTTCTTCCTAGCAGCTGATATAGAGCTATGTTTTAGAAATAGGATGAGAATGATGTTGATAACACACTGATGTTTTAGTTGTTGCCAAGCAGTCAAGGACTTTTCAGCTTCTCATACTGACCTGCCAACGAGAAGACGGGAAGTGCCCAAGAAGCTGGGAAGGGACACGGCCAGGACAGCTGACTCAAACTGGCCAAAGGGATATTCCACATCATATGATGTCATGCTTAGTATATAACTGGGGTTGGCTGGGAGGTGGCATGGCTCAGGAACTAGCTGAGCATCAGCTCTGGGTGATGAGCAGTTGTGCTGTGCATCACATGTTTTGTATATTCTTTTTTATTACTATTATCTTCCTTTTCTGTCCTATTAAACTGTCTTTATCTCAACCCATGAGTTTTACCTTTTTCTTTTTGATTCTTTTCACCATCCCACTGGGGAAGGAGTGAGTAAACGTCTGTGTGGTTTTTTTAGCTTCCTGCTGGGTTAAACCACGACACTAGGTCACTAGCAGATTAGGGAGCTCATATTGCTAAAAATGGGATTCTGTTGCATGACTGATTGCTGTCCAGTTACAGCAGCTTTCACTGATGTTTAGACCTATGCTTCATCCTGCAGGAGGGGAAGGCTGACAGCACATACAGCATGGGTAACTGGCTCAGCAACTTGAATACTTTCAAGAAAATGCATTGCGTATTTATTTTGGAAATCTGCTCTCATTCCTACTTAGATGGGTGAAATGATTGTTTGAAAGGTAAGAGTCTGCTAAGGATAGAAATAAAACCGCTTGAAAGGGAAAACAGGTTTTTCTTTTGTTTTTCCAAAGTGTTCACTGTTTTGCACTTCATGACTTTGGAGTGAGCTGCTGTTGACAAAAAGATTTACACTTCCTAAAATACTATTTCACTTTAAAGATAAAATGATCCAATTTCTTGAGACCTGCAGCACACTCTAGACAGTAAAGTGTCCAGAAGCTTTTCAAAAACACAGAGGAGCCAATTTTCAGTGAGTCTCTCCATAAACATTTGCAGTTACTGAAAGTTGTTATCAGCTGTATGTTCCTGCACTTACCACAGGAGTAGTAAGTGGCACAATACCTCTTTTGGTTGTAGCAGGGTACATTTTGGCACCTTTCCCCAGTAGTCATCCTCAGGAATGAGTTTATCCTCTACGAGGCGGTAAATGCAGTTTGTTTCGATTATTGCAGCTTCATACATTTCATCTTCTTCAGGACTTCCGGCAGCTTAAGGAAAAGATTGTCAAAAATAATAAAAAATTTTAACATCCAACTATCTTTACTAAAAAGAACTGACTCAACTATTTTACTGTGATAAAACATCAGATACTGTAACTGTAAGAATGCTTACACTGATAATTTGTCTGTCCACCAAGGAGTTTCCAGAAGTCTTTGGCTGCATGGGTATGGGTATTTATTCCTTCTTCTATAGTCTGTATATAAGAAGCTCTACAGCCAAGTTCCCTCTTTGTCTGAATTAAAGTTGCGAGTTCTGAAGCCTAAGAGATTAACGGTTATCTGAACAAGATTGTTTAAGTCTTTGGAATACTTGTGCATATCTTGTTCAGGGAGAAGGCAAAAGTAGATAGGACATAATAGAGCAAACAGCAGGAGAAATTATTATTATTTGTTGCACTAAATAAACAGACACTAGAGAAAATGTTACAGCAATACATTCGTTCTTTCATTTGCTTTAAAATGAGACTTGATCTTAATGAACATGGGAGTAAAAAGGACATCCTGCAATTCAGACTATTTTTTGTTTGAGTGCAAATCTGTTTCCTGAGGATATCCTCTTTTCTCTTGCAGCTTCTACACACTTCTATGCCAGCTTTCATTCACTGCACAGGCTAAAACATATTTACAGGGATCCTGCATATCTACCTGTCACTGACTATCAGTTACATGCCACTTTTTGACACAATTGGCACCAAGGCTCAATGACATCAGAGACACATATGCTGTGATAGTTCTAAAAATTAATAATAAAAAACCCAACTAATACTAACCTTTGCTTTTTCTATGACATTTGCAAACTCTCCTACCCATAAGAAACAGAAATGTGGAGTTAACAACAGGAAACAGTCTCCGCTGTTCAGTGACGAGGCCCTGGGTTCAACTAATCTTGTTTGAACATGTCTTCTTCCTAAAAAGAAAACAAAGCTAATTATATTCCTTTGACTACTGCTATCAAATGCCAAGATCTAATTTGTTTTGAATGAAATACAAACAATCCAAGCACATTTAGCAAAACATATGGAAACAGACTGTTAAAGAAGAATTAAAAGACTGCTACTGTGGAAAAAGGTTTTACTCACAGGAAGCAAAAAACCCGTTGCCTCCTATCAGCTATTATTTCTATTATTTCCTGTTCTTGCTTTAACAACTTTGTGTCCTTCTGGAAAGAAATGAATTAAGTAAATGGCAGACAGCAGCCAAATTCCAGAATACTTTACATTTGCTTAAGTGAAGCTATGGCACAGTTTCTGTAGGCAGTAAAAAGTTTTAAGAAGTTTATTTTGCCAAAAAAGTATCTATTATTTTGCAGAATCACATACATTCCTATGCACTGTAAGGGGAAGTGGAGCAAGAACATTGTCATGTCACTTCCAAGTTATACTGAGCCCTGGAAGAATAGGACAGTTCAAAAATTTCCACAGGAGATGGCTGTTTCTGGATGGATATTCCTGAAATACTCTGTTTTCTCCTTGGAAAACACACACCAATGGCCACAATGCAAACCTGTTTGTAAGGTTTTGCATTTGTGACACAGTTATCTCTTATTCTTTTGGGACATAAATCTCAAGCTGGAGATCTAGAGCAAGCTAAGCATCCAACTGTGGTAGCAACTCCCATAAGTTACAATCAGTCTATTCTGGATGGAAAGTAAAAGCAGTTCCAGCATACCTTTAATTTGCAGCAGCATTAGCTTCTTGTATGGCACAGCACTGTTGTTAGAGTTTTGCTCTGTTAGATTAACACTCCGCAGGCTAACGTTGCTGAAGTTCTCTTTGCTTGCCAAGCCAGCAAGTGCTACTTCTGAGAAATTTGAGTTTGTAGACACTTGTATATAAAAGAAGTTGGAGGAAAAACATACAAGAAAACCAAAAAGGACAATATTTTAAAAAAATCAGTTGTTGCATTAGAAAAATTAAATCCCCCCCCATTATTTCTCCTTCTCAATAGCAATGCAAAACCAGGTTGAACTTAGATTAACTGCTAGCCCAAAAGCATTGTGGGTTTAGTAGCACCTAAGTTTCTAGATATCATCCAAGAGTAAACTGTCAGCGTCAGAATTATGTTATTTGGCAGAAATACCAGATTTGCCAGGAAACATGTCTTACCCAATGTTTTGTGAAGTACTGTGTAGATAGATCTTCAGTGTCTTATAATTGATTAATGATAAAAGACAGCAGAGTAGCCAAGGCTAATTAACTGAAATTCTCTTCAAATTTGTCTCAGCTAGTGTGATGCAACAACCATTTACATTTCAAAGTCTTAGTCACGTTTTACTGTAAACTTAAAGCCGAAATTCTTGGCTCCTTTTGCTTATTTCTCAACCAAAGACAAAGCATTTTATGAATTTATAACTCAGGGAAATGCTTCTCATCAAATGGCAACAAAGTATTACACATATAATTAGTGTTTTCATCAATAGAAATGATGTTTAAAGATGATCTCCCTTTACTGAAATGTAATAAGGAAAACTTTTACCCAAAATGGTAAAAATGGCTTGACAAACCTTTGAATAAATTTTACAATAATGTCTGTTGCTGTCCATCTGGTTGTCAGGAGAAAGCAGCATCACAAGCAAAACACAAAGCCCTGCCACAGAGCAGTGATCCTTTATGGACATTAATCTTTTGGAGTCAAGAAGGCTAATTCCAGTTTCTGAGAGAGAATTAGGCCCCAAAATTGAGGCCAGTGTATCTGAACAGAAATTCACCTCTTCCTGCCAGCAATCCCTGCCAGCATAACATAATGCTAGATCTGCTTTCCTTGGTCCCCTGTCCTCACCCTGCAGGCACAGTGGAACTCCCTCTCTCTGCACAAGGTGACTGTGCTAAAAATATATAGTTAAACCTACGCACAGGAGGCGGCTGTAGGTAGCTTTACCTGAGGAAGTCACACATGCCCTTCTCTCCCATCTTCCCAGACAGTCTACATTCAACCTTATACCTCAATCAGTTTATTGCCTCTCAGAGAATATGTTCCAGTCCTTCAGTTGTGGTTTTCTGTTGAGATTTTTTGTTTTGGTTTGGTTTTAATTAAAATAGCAAGACAGTGTCTTGTACAAATCATCCCATTAGCTTACTTTTTTCTACTTTCATTCGCTTTGACTCCATGAAGGCAACATTCAATCTTTGTTCAGTATATTCATGAAGAATATCTTCTCTTGCTGCCAGCATTTTCAGGGGGTTTCTAGAGGACTGGACTCTGCGCGTAGGCCTAACTGCACGTTTGTGCTCTGCTACAGAAGATATTAACCTGAAAAACAAGCAGTTTATAATCATCAGTTAATTTTCCTAGTCAGGATTAGTTCCTTGATTCAGGCAGAAGACTGATTTCAGAAATGTGTAGAAGAAATGGACATGCCCAGTACTAGGATATCTACAAGATGACTTAAAGCTGAACATTTTGACTACTGCCCCTATGTCTGCATTCAAAACAATGGGGGGAAAAATAGTTCTTACTTTGGTGCATAAGGATCAAAGATGGTATCAAAGTCCTCATCAAGGTCCAAAGGCACTGAGGAGGAAGGGAAATCCACATGGCGATAAAATTTGGAAAATGTTTCATCATCATCCAGCTTCATCACCTCTTTCACAGACTTTCCTGTAACTGTCAGCACCGTCTCTTGCATCCCAGCAACTGGAGGGAAAAAACCACCCCACCCAATAAATAATCATACTAGAATTTCTAACTCTAGTAACAGGTAAACATGGCTTGTTTGGTAGTTTTTGGGGTGTTTTTTTGGGGGTCATGGTGGTGTTTTGGTTTTTGTGGCATTTTTTTAATTGATGGAATTTGAAGGAGAGATGGTAGAAAAGTGTATTGGAAAAGAATGATAAAACTGGAGTGTAACTGCTACTCATATGCAAAGAAATACTGTTTCTGTTACCAGATTTTTTAACTTAGAGGTACTTTAAGCAATTTACTGAAGTTGAAGAGTGGATCCATTGCCACCTTTGGTAACTCTACCAACCTTTGTTATTCAGCCTTCCCAAGAATGACTCCAACTTGTCAAGCTTCATATCTGATTCCAATTGCATATCAGGCCTGGCTTCAATTTCTAAGCAAACCAGAAAGTAAAACTTGTTAATTGACAGGAAGTAAAAAAGCCTGAACGTATTTCAGTCATTTTTATTTCTTACCTTCCAAGGGCTTTGTAACTGGAGTGGTGGACTTCTGTCGGTTACTAAAAGGGGATGCTACTGGTGTTAGCGCACTTGGAGAAGCCAGGCCTGCATAAGAACAGAGGACATAGGAAACGCAGTCCTGGGTCAGCCTGTGTTTCTGATCGTGATGACAGGGGAAGCTATTTAGGGAAAGCAGATGAGCCATACAACTTCCTACAGTCCCTCATACTTCCTCAGCCTCCACAATGGTTGTTTAGGGATGGGAGAGTTTACGGCCCTGCCCGCTCCTCAGAAACTGTCTCATTCACAAGAACAAAGCTTTGTTTCCAAGTGTCCGTAAGCAAGCTAATACAAGATGCATGCTTTCTCTTGAACACAGTCATTTTGCTTGTTTTCAAGGTAGCAGCGGATCACTTGGTCTACATTTTGGACTCCAGTTCTACCACAAGCCACATTTTAAAAACATGCAACTGTTCTGAACCAAAAGATATAGTAAGCAGGGAAACTACCAAGATCTTGCTTGTTACCTTCACAACCACCACCCCCTCATCCCTCTTTTTTAATTTAAATCCATCTCTATTAGTACACATAGCAGGATGCATCTGTCCTGTGAATGCTGTCCCTGGATTAAGCAGTAATTCTCGGGCTCTGTTGTGTTTTTAAGAACACATGGAAATGGAAGTAGAAATGGAAGAAGAAATGGAAGTCAGAGTCCCCACCATATCAAGCACTACTCCCTCCTTTTGTTATACTGTCCTCCCTCCTATCATCGAGCAATTCGTTTTGGATCCAGTGGATAAAGTAAGATTGTGTTTAGTTCCTTTCATATGAATCTATGTTGCTCCAGTAACAGAAATGGCACTCTATCGGTTTTGTGGGGTTTATTAGGTAGAAAAGTATACTGAAGCAAAAGAATTGCACCTGTTACCTTGTGTTGCCTAGACTTTCAGTACATGGGGAAACTGACATTTAAAGTTTCCTCTCATATCTATTTTCCATTTAGCCATAGCTTACTAATTACTGAGCCTCAGAAGTTTAAGCCTTTGGTTATTTTGATCAGATTAAACTGATACTGTGCTGGGAGAATATATACTAATCATGTTTCCACTATTTTTACCACAACTCCTAGCAAGTCACAATTTTCAAACACCAAGACAGATTTAGAATATAGTTGAGTAGCTTTTCCACAAACAAGGCTTTAATTTTGCATTGCTTTCTCATCATCTCTTAAATTAAGAACTCATCATGATAACTTATTCTTTTAGGCAACAAAAATAGCGCACATCTGAATAAAATCTGACTTGGGCTACTTTTATTGATGCCACTGTCACTGGATTACCTTGCTTCTCCAAAAGAATGATCACAGCACCTAAAGAGATTGATCCTTTCAAGGTACTTTTCTTTTCCCCTTAAGAAGAGCAAATGCTATTACCTTCTATTCCTTTCCAAAGGCCAATCTGTTTGGCAAAAAAAATAAATCTCAAAAAGCAGTCTGTGGACAACTGAACACTTTTTCTTGGACACCCTCCAAAAGAGGTTAATCTTTAAACACTGACAACTGGTGTTTCTAGCAGCAAAACAATGTAAGCAGCAGCTAAAATATCTTACTAATAGATCCAATTTCTAATATCATGTTTCTGTTTATCTGCCAACAGAATGTGGCTTAGATTGCAAATGGAGTTACTCCCTGTTGCAATGCTGCCCTCACCCCACAATGATTTTTTTGGTGGTTGTCATTTAACTCACGGTTCATTGTTGTTGTATTTAATAACCAAATTCTTGTAACAAAACAAAACTGAGTATTCATTAACCACAAGAGACCAGTTTAGGTACTGCCTTCCCAAAGCTATCATCGTCCCAGGCACACCGTGTGAACAGCTACATTTCTACCACGTACAGCCTTCAGAGACTCCTGTCCACTTCAGAAGAATGATTGCATCTGGAAACAGTGACTGAATTCAAGAGATCCCGAAAATGTCAACATTGCTCCCTTGTCATTTCTACTCCCTGGTTCTATGCAGAAATCTGTTCAGTGATTTCTTCAGCCAAACACAACACTTGAAGTTGTTGTCCAAAACAGCATCCATAAAACCCACATATGTTTGCTAAATATTCCCAGTGATCCTAGGAGTGGGGGAAGTGCCAGCAATAGCAAGAACTAGATTTCACAACTTTCCTCTAGACAGTGCACCTGGGTTTTCAAAGGAAGAATAAATAAGAAAAAATGATCCAACTGTGCTCTCTGGGTTGCATTAGAAGGAAAAACAATACATATGACTGTTCAAGTGATTGACTACCACCAGCCAGCCAGAGCCCAGTAATAACTGGATGGTACTGCAACAGTGCAGAACAAAATGGATCAATACCAACAGCCACAAGAAGCTAGAGTGAACAGCCTCATGACACGATATTCAGTTGAAGGTAAACAGTCCTCCTCTTGCTAAACATGGATACTGTTTCTGCATAGCTTTAGCTTGACTTTATTTTGACTAGACAGATAAGCAGTGGCTTATTTATATTAGGATCATTTCATCACTGACCTTTTTTTACCATTCGGCCAGCTACAGTGAACTGTGTAGAGTCATTGGCTGCTCCTTTGCCCTTGGATTTCCAGGCTTCTTCTCGAGCTGTAATCAGGTGTTTCCTTTCTTCAATGGTCATCTGACTCTCCTGGTTATCTGCCAGTCTCTGCTTTTTTGGGGGAAAAGAGAAAGAGATGTTTGAAAAAACAGACAAACTGACCAGGATATAGCAAAGGACAGGCTGAACATTTCAACTGCTAGCTGTAGAGGGAAGAGAACAGAACAAGCTACTAAAGGAAAGGCACAGGCACAGCTTAGTGACCCTGACCCAGAGAAGCTTCATTGTCTTGCTGCCCCATTACACTGTGAAGTTAAGGTGAAGGTAAGGTTTTGGTCTATGCTCTTTGACATTTTCTTGAAACTACCAGCCAAGGCAAATGGTATCCCTCTAAGAAAAGCAAACAATTTACTCTGTGTATGATACAATTTTCCAGACTTCATTCTTTTGAAGCATGACTTGCTACACTAGTGAAATCACTAAACTGACTTTCAGGAGATGTTTTCAAATGTGCAAATCTGCAGGTGGCACAGGGAATAACAATGAAGAAGTGTAACTTCAGTTTGTGATTTTTGAATCACTCTCTTACAGTAATGCAGTTCTCCAGGCAGGATTAGGAGCCTTATCTCTCTGGAGGCTGCTCACTTTAGTTCCTATGTCAGCGTGCTCTACTGAATATTTTTCCAATGACTGTGATCATCTTTTTTTTCTTTTTTAGGTCACCCTCAGCTTTCCTCACTTGCTTTAGAGGGTAGCAGCCAACAGCTTGAGTGATTAGGAGCAGCTAGGAGCACTAAGATACTTAGTGCTACTAACACAAAGGATTGATGATGGTATGTTAAATAGGAAAGAAACTGAATTTACATACTCTGCTGTAGCTAGGTCAGGCCAAAGAAATATTGCTTCAATGCACTTATCTTAAGAAAGTAGCAACATTTCAGGGATTATACTGCCTAGAAATCAAGTATAAAAGTATTTTTAGTGCATGGGACTGTCAACTCTGGAATTACTTCCAAGTTGTGTGCCATTTTGCATTTTCCTTCACAACCTAGCTGCTAGAATTGAAAAAAACACATGAAAATCTAAAGCTTTATCACAGCTGTAGCTCATACAACTACAGAGAGGAAATGAAAAAGGACCCAAAAGCTTGTGAACATAAAGTAAACATTCTTCTTGGTTTCAAGATACAAGGAAGAGATATTCTTACTTATTTCTTTTCTTAAAATCAAACAGACTAAATAATTCGGTCACTTTTTGTATAAAAACTCTTGTGAGTGCAGGGGACACACAAAAATAGAGATTTCATAGCCTTCAGCATTTACCAGGAACAGTACAAATCAGCCAGAAGACTAAAAACAAACCAAGAAGTGGCTTGTTCAAGGACTAGGACATGAAAGCCTTCCACTGCTTCCTCTGGTTCCATGTAACTCCGCAGCCTTCTGCAGTAATGCTTGCTCTCAGTTTCTTCGGAAGATAGTTGGGCAGCCAGTCACTATGACTGCAAGTCACGATAATCAAGATAAAAACCTCTGATTTTTCCCTAGAACTCCAAAACGTTCAATAGAAACAACAAGATGCAAGTCTTCTCAATATTGCTTCCTCTTCTGTAAAAGCATCTGAATGCTTTAAATAAAAACACTGAAAGTAACCTTGGTTCACTTCCCCCAATCTCTACGTGTTCCAACGTCTCAAGCACGGCCACCTCTGGGATGAACAGCTGGTAGAAAAAAACCCCACAGCAACATACTAAAGGAGATCTTGGCAGGAAATTAATATATACCTAATGAAACCACAAGTGAAATTTCATACACAAAACAAATACTTTTAACTTAGTGAGGATGCTGACTTTGATTATAATCTGAGGGGAAGTGGGGGAGAGGCAGGAAGAAGTAGAGTCATATGGATTTTTTCATATGGATTATTTATATTTTTTAAAATGACAGGGGGCTTAATTTTGAATTTTGTCTCCAGCAAACACTTGAAGCTCCAGAGTCTGTGGAGCTACTGGAAATTCTGAAGACACAGGCCTTTAACCCCTCTGTGTTAATCACTACACACGTACATTGTAAGAAAGATCATGAGTAATTCTGGAGCCTCCTCAAAGGACAAAAGAGAGTAAGTAGCTCTCTAAGGGTAGAAACAAACTTTTTTTTTTTTTAATGGAAGATTTCAAGCTGCTCCTTTGGGCAAAACGTCCTTGGAGTTTCTAAAACCAAAAATAATTCAGACTGGATGTGTATGTTACAAAACTCAGAGTAGTTCCACATTAGATCTCTTCCTAATGCATGAAAACTCCCACCTTCCTCTATTAATAAACAAATTCACTAAAAAATATGATAAGGTGAATAGACACCAAGAAATCCCTAACCCATTTAATTTGCTATAACAGTTCTGGTGAAAACCAAAAGTATATGTGATTCTTAAAAGAAAGAATAATTTTCTATAGCTGGAAAACTAACATGACCCAATGCAACTGTCAAAAGAAATGCCAGAACAAATACACCTGGTAATTGGGACTAGTTTAGAAAGCTTTCACAATTGCCAAATGACAGCATTTGTGGAGGAATGAACTGGTCAAAGCATGTTCTGGTTGGGAGAAAATATGGCAAGAAAGGTAAAACTTGACAAGCTTTTAGGTGCAAATTTTATTTCCAAGTAAAAAAAAGAAAGTAAGATATGAAAGAAGAATAAATCTCAAATTTGTAACTGTGACGTTTTGATAAGGGGAGCTAAAGACCCCAATAAAAGCCAAAACAAGAATTATTTTAGTGTGTCAGGAATAAACAAAAGCTTAGGAAGACAACAGCTCCAATGCTATTTTTCCATGAAACAAAAAAGGAAGGCTGTTATGGTCAATGAAATATCCTAATTTGTCATGAAAAATACATCCATGTGTTCATTGAAATCTTTTGTTTCAGATAAATGATAAATTCCTAAAATGAAGTGAAAAAGGATCAGAAAAATTGGCATCCTACATGAAACAACTGGAATAGGAGATGCCCCAAACACAATCAGTGATTTAAAAAAAACAACACAACAACTTTGAAAATGGGAGAATAAGTAGGGCTGATAAAAGCTCAGATGGTGACAATACTTAGAAGAAATAGAACTAAAGTAGGTACAGGTCACACAAGCTATGTGTTGTTCCAGACACTCATGGGAAGACTGCTGTAAGACAATCAATAAAGAATCAAAGCACAGACGTGTAATTAATGCGACTCCACCTGGCATTATGGAAAACAGGTTTAATCAAAATGGTAAGTTTGATGAGATCAAGTATGATTAAATATGTTAACACAGTTACCTCTGATTAATATATTTGACTTAATCACAGATGACATTCTGAGGTTTTTTTGAGCAACATAAAAATATCAGTGCAGCTTACAGGCTGCAAACTAGTTAACTGACTGAAAAATTATTTCTAAACAGAAGAGAGGCATGCAGTAATCTGATTCATCCCAACTTTCATCACAATGTTTTCATGCACATGGAAAAAAGATACAGTTCTTCTGAGAAGACTCTCAGGATGGCACCATCATACAGATGTGAGGAAGGTAAAGAAGAAATAATCACATAGATGGGTAAAAAAAGTTATCAGAAAAATCTAGTAAACCAGGCTTTTAAGAGAAATGTTACTTGAAAAGTGAAACAAGCGAAACCCAGTGAGTTAGGAAGATAGAAAAATTCCCACAGAACAGTTGTTCTGAACAGATAATCTATACTGCAATAGCTCATCCATTTCCAGCCTCTACACTTCTATCCAGGATGCTGACAATTTTGAAAGGTTTCAGGAAAGGGCTAAAATATTTTTTCAAGATTTGGAAAAAATCTACCTTAGATTAAATCAGACGAGTATTTATTTTTACTGAAGAAAGAGTTAAGTTTTACTCAGCGAGAATAATTACACATGAAAAATTACTTAATATTGCAGTGAATTTTCTGTATGTTGAAACTTTAGAATAAAGAATCTGGATTTTTCTAAAAGATCTGTTTTAAGTCTGAGAAGGAGTTATAGACTCAGTTATAGACTTGATGCAAGAACAGCTAGAAACAGGGATTACTTTTCTCCCACTGCTTGGCTAGGTTGGATGATGATATTGGTCTTTTCTAGCACTGCAACACATTTCTTGAGGGTATGCACAGGGATTCCACTCCACTTTTGCAGCATCAGTTCATGCTAAGGAAGGGCCTACATCTACTCAATGCTCTGTTTTGTACTCTACAATTTTCCAGACCAAGCAGTGTCCCCTCTATGTCACAAGAATGTGACTGAGAGTGGTCTGTTAGCATGCTGGTTTGTTCTTTGGGGTTTGGTTTTGTTTTTTAATGCAAGAAATAAGAGAATTCAGGGTTTTCTATGTTGAAGATCAAGACTCCCCCTACCTGAGGGAGTCCAAAACAAGGCTGAACATAAAAAAATGTATTTTTCAAAAGGGGAATCCATTTAAAACCAATGTTATAAATTATATAAAAGAAGAATCCAAAAACTATCTATTTGCTTTTTAATACAAGTAACTTCTCTAGTGTAGGCTTCTAAGACAAAAAAAGTACAAGAAGATTTCAACAGCTGTACAAATACAGAAAAGTTTCTGCATTGTTTTCCTCTGCAACTTTATATAGGTCTTGTTATAAGGAGAAAACTCAAATGCAAATGTACGGCATCCTGTTCAAAAGTGGTTTGAGCAAAATAGAACACACTCAACTTGTGTTTGGTGCAAAACCCATAACAATTAATTGTGCCAGGAAAAAACCCCAAACAAATCTGTATGCACCTTGGCACCAGGCTAGAAGGAAGCAGCTTTCTAAGAGGGCAGGATGTAGCTCACCACGGTCAATGGAAATATGAACACTTTTTGGGTGTTCCCCTTTTACAATAGATGGGATGAACAGCCCATTGAAGGACCTCCTCTCACTACTGGAGGGATATTATGTTATTAAGTTAGACTGTATATTTACCTTCTAGATACATAGAGCTGCTGTCACAATAAAATGAATAGGTTATCTGAAGTAAATAGTAATAAAGCTACACTAAATCCAGAGCTTACAGAGAAGAGGTAACACTAACACAGTTCAGTTACTAGCCCCAAGTTTAATTTTTAATTAAAAAAAAAAATCAGAGTAAAAGGTCATCCTCAAAAAACAGCTATGAAAGTGAATGTGGAAATGGTAAATATCAGTAGTCAAAATTTTTATTGTAGTTCCAGTAGCCTCTGCCATAATCATCATCCTCTGTTCTAGCAGCACATATCTGCCCCTTGGATTCACTGCCATTAGGCATGCTGGCCAGAACGCTCCTCACATATGACATACACTGTATTTTGTGTGGGAATGAAGAACCCAATGGATTGCTTGTAGTACTACAACCACAGATCTGGGCTGGGAGGCAAGTCACAGGAGGTGTAATAAAGCAGAATTAGATTTGCATAGATCTATTGAGATCTTCCAGTGAACTCTCCTTGTTTTCTCATGGTTTTCTTCAACTTGTTTCTTTGCCCGCTCCTGCCTTTGCTTTTTTTACCTCTGATCATGTGAAACAAGCACTGTTCGCTCAAATCAAGATCCAGTATTCTACTTCTGCTCAAAGACAACTTTGTTATGTAGCTCTAGCTGAAGAAGGTTTATATTTCTCATTATCTATTAATTCTTTATAAGTTCTTAAAATTGTTTATGATGGAATTGCAGAGGTATGGACATGATTTTGAGGAACATTTCACATAAAGCTTCTCTAACATTTACTGGAACAGCAGCAGAACTCTATTCCTAAGGAAACACAAAGTAAACTCTGTTGCCACAAGTTGCTTTAGGAATGTGAATCTTAGATCGGAATATCATTTTCTTACTCCTCCCTCCAATAATTAAACAGGAAGTTTGTACAGCATTTCACCTTCCATCTCCAAGGATGATGTTCATCAGAAATCAGAGAGCTTGATTCTTTCAAACTAGTACTACAGACCTTAAAGGAAGAAAGAGAGAGAGAAGCAGGAAGATAGGACAGTCAGAGAATAGAAGCAGGATGTGCCAAGACAAAAATTTTTAAACAGGGACTAGGGAAAAGCACTGTAGGAAAGTCACCTCTGAACAAAAGCAGCTTGTTTTTTTGCAGTCAATAAATTAGGTGATTTCATGTCTTACATTGTATTTGTGCATTACTTACAGAGAAGTCAGGGTACACAGCATTTTATTCTATGTATTACATATGGCTCCTTTTATATACCATTTTTAACAACTTGCAAGTTTTCAGTGTTACAATAAATGCAATGTCTGCTTCATTTACTTTCTCACCTATATAGTCTAACAGATACAGAATTTTTAGAAATGCAACCATAAGAGAATCACTAGCAGAATGTACGTTGAAGAACAATACACAACATAGTGGCATAATACTATGTTTCTTTAAAGCAGCATTTACTAAGTTGGTTAATCAGTTAAGAGGCTTATTAATTTCCTACATAAAACAAACCCTGTCAAAACGTGCTTATTGAAATTGTTGAGCATTTAAATTGTGCAGACTTTTGCTCACCTGATTAATAGGTAGAAAAGGATGAAATTTATGGAGAGCGGGTATAACGGGAGAGTAAGTAGAAGCATATACAGGTTCCTATGACAAGGACAGAAGCAAAGCAAAGGAATTAGAAAAGAACTGGACTATCAGAAATGGAGATGTGGGAAATAACTCATCTTCCCCTAATTTCTTACAATGAAGTAAATCTGAACCTTTTAGTATTCTAGAAATGTTTTTCCTATTGGAAAGCCAGAGATCAAAAATGTTGTCATAATACAACAGCATGTTTACCAAAGCCATTCCATGCAGGAATTAAACAAGTTAGTGACAACATCACTACAACTCAACACAGAACGAAACAGCACAGCCAGAAGATACACTTTTCATATGCTGATAATTTTTATGTCTCTGTTTTCATGCACCATTAAATTGATGAACCACGTCAACCACAATGTGAATAATTCTGCTGCAAGTTTAATCAGACCCTGCTAAATAACAAGCCATCCATTTTCTGGATGAAAGGAAAAAGAATGCTTACTAAAACAGGGATACTCAAAAGCCATCTGGAGGCAATTGCTAAGCGCAGAGCACTCAGTGAAGGTGAGTTCACCATTCTAAACAAAGCCTACAAATAGCCCCTGCCTCATAGCTGGGCTTACTCAAAGCTGATTAGACATGGCTTTATCATCTATAATTCTTCTTCCTTTCTATAGGTTAAAGCAAATGTGGAACATTGCATAGAATATGGGTAAATGCAGCTTATGAGAATGGCTCAAAATGAAGCTTAATCATTAATTTCAGCTTTGATTAGAATTGGATACAAGCATTGGGTGGATGCCATATATGAAATGGATAAAACTATTACCACAGCAAGAGATGAACATTTTGCCTAAAGGTCACTTTTTAAGAGCTCACCCTCTTCAAGATTTTTACACACTTCATCTCTGAATAATTTTGAATTGACTATTCAGCCTCAGCCTTTAACACCAGTGCTGAGCTGCAATTTGAACTTGCTATAAGAAATAAATGCATTTCAAATGTCATTCACTGCTTTAATGTGACTGCAATGCAGCTGGTAATCACATTAATCAGGGACTCTGTTAAAAATGGCTGACTATAAAACAGGCATTTTCATTCCAGTAAATCTTGCTGTTTTGATACTAAGGAAAGATTTTAAAGTTAGCTAATTTTTCTACCCATGAAACAAACCAACAAAGTGGAAGTTTTCCATCCAACCTAAGATGATGAATACAAATATACTAAATCCAAAATATTTTTCCCAAATAAAAGTGGTGTTTTTTTTCCCCAGTAAGACAATCTTCAGTGTACAGTTGTTCCCTTGATGTTAGAGCTATTCTTTGAATTGTCCAAGTATGTTTTACTGTACATATATATAATTGAAGAAGTCTCACAGATTCCAACAAATTTTCCTCATATGCGCAGCAATCATCAAAACAGATGTGGGACCTCCAAGTAAATCTCAATTTCCCCCTCATCCGTATCTCCTTCGGTTAATTCCTTACTCCCTTTTTTTTCCCCATTTGAGGTTGCTCTGTCAGCTTTTCCATGAATTTTATCGTTTTTCTACAGTTTTGCCTACATATAAATGACTATAACACTTTTGGAGAAATAGCTCACCATGCAGACAACTGTGCAGAAGCTTTTTGACTAAAGTGACCAAACCGCTATTTAATGTAACTATTTTATTATTAGTATGAGTCTTTCAGCTTTTGTTGTTTTTAACAAATCTAAATGTACTCTAATAACTTCTATTTTATACAGCTATGCTTCAATAATCAAATCTCCAGAACAAGTTAGATAACCTTTTAAAAGACACGCACGCACAAAAGAAAACCTAAAAAGGTCTCTGACTACAGGAGTGATATACTACAGCTAAAACCTTCAGGCATTATTTTGAACCAGCAGGGCATGACAGAAGTTTACACACCCTTGCTGTTAATGCATGACTGCCATGTGTGGAAATTGTATTTTAACTAGCTGAAAACACAGTAATCAACACAATTCCTGCATTTTTATTGCAATCCAGGAACAGAAAGGACTAAGATTCTTAAGTACATTGTACTCTCAAAGCTCTTCTACAAATAGAGACTTCAGTGGCACAGTGCTTCATGGTCCTCAAAGGATAATAGCCATTACATTGATTAATTATCAATAACAGTATTTCCAGATTTAAGGGCAGCTGACATGGTGTGTTGTAAGCAGTGTGGTCAACTTAGTGAAGTATCACAAATATCCATACAGTTCAGGGAGCTGTGTATCTAATAAGACTGACATTTTTTTCTGATACATCCAAGATTCCACCCATTGGCAGACATGCAAATCCTTTGATTTAGGCTGTAAATAGCCAAGAGCTGACATGAACCAAGAAAGTGGGTGACCCAGTGTCACAGAAACTCCCACTGCTAGCATTGCCACATCAAAGCTCGTACCCTTCAAGCACTTCATGCTCTCTTACTTGCTTTAAAAGCCTAACTTACTCTATGCTGAGTGAAGTTGCTGCACATGGTAACACAGCAGGGAGGATATGGGTGCTGGGGAGCCAAAAGAGAGAACAAAGGTTTTGTCTCTGCCTAAATCTTGGCAGCTGCTTAAAGCTTTTTCTCAACCCCATTGTCTTTAGCTGGAGTACATTTGTTATCTGATCTCAACAGTTGTCATTTTGGAGACTAGCCTGTTAAAAATGTGACCGCAACTTTGCTTTACTCGCTGAAACTATTTTTGCTTTAGGACATCTTTCAAACGAACAACTGGATTTTTGAGTAAGTCCACAAGGCAAAACCAAAACAAACCCCATAAACCAAACTGCAAAAAATCAGCTTTCTTGTTTTTCTATCCAGTTAACACACAACCATTGATAAGTCACATGTTCAGGCACAGATTTATCCTCAATAATGACAGACTGTGTAACAACTCCTTACTTGTAACATACTGATGGAACAGGAGGCTTTTTGTTATTGTTTGTCTATACTGTTTAACAGAAGCTGCATTTTCACAACTAAATAATTGAATCCAAAGATTACTGTCCCTACTAGTAAAATTTATAACACAAATTTTATCTTCACTTGTCCTCTGTGAAAATACTCCTTCAAAAATTAAAGGCTTTTGAAACCGCCTATTTTATCTGACACTGTCAGATAAAAGGGAAGCAAAGCTGCATTAATCCTGTAGTTCGAACCAGCAGTCCATTTTGAAGCAAATCTCGCAGTCACCCTCACTTTCTGTGCTTTGGTTCACATTGCAGAATGCAAAGACCCTTTTAGATGAAACTAACCCCTGAAGCCCACTCTGGGGTTCCCATGTAATGCCATGGCTGCTAACGGGCAGTCAGGCCACAGGAGCAGACTAAATTCAGCCTGAAGCAAAACAAGAAGTTACGGCATGGCATGGATAACAGGTCCTCATCAGTAATCATTCTGCTTTACAGATCCACTCCTGCTGGGCAACACAACTTAGTCATGTACAGACACAGCCAGAGTGTGCTAACAGTGTGGACTTCCCTTTCCTCTACACCTTTCTACCTATCTCCCACTCTATACACTAACACTGACAAGACAGACAAAATCCTTGTCCAGATGGTTTTGGCTATCCACAAACACCTAAAGATCATGCAAGATAACCAAAAGCCAAATGGCTCATAGAATCATAGAATCTTTAAGGTTGGAAAAGACCTCTAAGATCATCAAGTCCAACCGTCATGAATGCTCTCATACCTGCATTTCCTCAGTGTTTCTAGGATCCAAAATTACTACTTAAAAAAATTGTATGCACAGAGACAACACAGCTTTAAGAATCTGAAATCTTTACAAGCTCACCCATGCTAAAGAGAACACCTGAACTTAAAAGTCTTAAGTCAATTGCGTGGGGGGGAAAAAGGCTTAAATCATTATACCTGCACATTCCAGAGGCCTTACAACAGGCTCACTTAGTGGTTCACAATCTGCTGATGTAAAGACACTGTAACCAATATTATATGTCCCAAGACAGTGAAGACATTCTCATTTAAAGAGCTCTCATGCTGGGAGAATTGTTTTTCAAGCAAGCCTGACAACAAGAGGAATAGCAGGAGCTAGTAGCTAATATTAGGCATGCCTGTCTAGGTGGATGCATCTTCAAAAAGCTGAAGCATTTCAAGCAGGATGTTTTTTCCAAACAAGGACAGAGCTACCTTCTTCAACAGTTGCTCAACTTCTTGCATCTGCGTGCTACGATCAGTGACAGACACTTTTGCATACTCCTGCTTTTTGCTGAGCCTGCTCTTCCAATCTTCTTCACCACTCTTCTTCAGCAATGCCAACCTAGAAGAGAAACCATGCCAACAGGAAGCTTTAAACACAGTCCTTCCCATTATCCTCAAAAGCTATCCTTACTGTTTCACTAATGCTGCTTTCAAGAGAATTTGAAATTAAATTTTTCTAACATTAACTATAGTTATTTACATTTCATACACATATACAAAGCTCACAAACGAACACCAAGCTTTTACTGAATGTGTTGAATGGGGATCATCTGTCAAAACACAGACATCTAGATCTGAGACAGGCACCCCAGTTAATTTGGATAGTCAGGGGAAATTGCCAATACATTCAAAGGAGACCAAGGTACAACACAGATCATCCTAAACTAGACATATAAATAGGTTAATCACTGCTTTTTCCCCTCCTTTCTATCAATAAGGCACGAAGAGCGACTAGTGACTATGGGTGCTTACACTGTAGATGTCCAAAGTTAACAGGATGAATCCTACCTTTGGTCTTTATTGTACTCATTAAAAAAAGATTTTAAAAATTATTTTCTTTAAAACTCAAGAAGAAAGAGGTCTATTCAGCAGGCACCCACCAGTCAGGTCTCATCAAGCACATCAAATGACAACTCTGCAGCTACTGCCTTCACTACAACTCCAGTGACTGAGGTTACTATCAGACTCCTAGGGATCACTCAGTATCTCCTCACTTCGCTCAGGCACTGCTGCGTCATAAGTAAGCAGTACCAATGCGCTAGTAACTTGGTGCTAATTATACTACGGCTGTGAAACCTATCTGCATGATTCAACTCATTTAAAGGGTATCTTATATTTAAAATGTGGATTACCATAAATCTCAGGTAAGTAGGATCTTTTAGTAAGTGCTATTTCCTATTCTTGAGCAAAATTCTGAATACAGCACAAAGGGACGCTGACTGGCTCTAGTGGGGACAGCATGTAGATTTGTTTTGCTAGAATTAGAACTTACTTGTCCACACAAACTCTGAGCTGATTAGTTTTGGGTGCAGAGAAAGTCATTAGGGAATACAAGGTCTACACAGGCATGATCTTTAGCTTACCTTCCCCAGAAATTAGTATTTGTATGAATTTTCTGGCTTTCAGAAATCATTCTTAGTAATCCATAAAATGTATATCTGCAATACTTGTGCAGTTGCATTGGTCCACTAAACAATTTTTATTTTAGTTGAATTAAGTTTTACTACATAACTTTCTTTCATTAGGGAATACAAGGTCTACACAGGCATGATCTTTAGCTTACCTTCCCCAGAAATTAGTATTTGTATGAATTTTCTGGCTTTCAGAAATCATTCTTAGTAATCCATAAAATGTATATCTGCAATACTTGTGCAGTTGCATTGGTCCACTAAACAATTTTTATTTTAGTTGAATTAAGTTTTACTACATAACTTTCTTTAGGGCATTTCAGTAAGGATTATACAAACTCCTTAACCCGTTCAGCAGTTACAGTGTTGGCAACCTATTTTGACCACAAGATACGGAGATTGCTTTTCAGAGATGTGATTACTATTACCCTCACAGTAGGTCTTGTCCTGAAACTCTGAGGAGAAAGAAAGGGTAGGACTGAATAGGTCTAGTCAGAAGCCAAGTTTCAGGCAGCTGCTTCCTGCAAAAAACCAGGGAGTGCAACCACGCTACTGACCTATTCAAGGATGACCGATTGGTCCTAAGGCAGTCATTTGAGAAAAACTGAGAATGCAGAAAACAGTAAATCCACAGAATACAATGGCAGTAAGAATGTTAGTATTCAAGAAAGCAGTTATTTCCTCTCTTCCTGCCCAGGCAGGCAGCGCTGGCAGGCTTCACATTGCCTGGTTGCTTCATACCTCACAGCACAGGATGAGTAGGGGTGAGAAGGACTCACAATAAGGAGTTGAGGCCATGATCATTGTTCCCAGAACGTATACAAGATTTCACTGCCCAGAACTAATCTTCTGGAATGGGTCCATGCATGTGTGAAACTGTGGAGGAGACCAAGATGGGACTGAATTGCCACCACGCAATTGAATTATCTTCAATAGTTATATTCTCTCGGGTCAGCTTTGCTTAGAAAATACCTGTGATAATTGAAGCTGGAAGGCAATTTGGTCAGCTTTGGCCTAAGAGGGGTTTGTTTTAAAAATGTCTATAGCTGCTGAGCATAGGAGGCAGATTTTTAACCTGACAATACTGCAGGTTATTTGCCCCTAGACCTTTGCCCCAAACAGCTTGGTTGATCAGGAAGAGAAAATCTGTAATTCTAAGACTGCTTCTGTGTCTCTGGAGACTTTGTTTTCTCCTCTGTCATAAGGATGGCTTCATACTAGCCCTCCGCTCTTCACTTGTATATGTAATGAAACAAGTCGTTCCTAGAGTGAGAACACATACATTTGTCTGTTTTGAGGAATGAAATCACCACTTAAAGAAACATGTATGCCCTGTATGCCATTGGAAACTTCACTGCTGTGTAAAACCCAAAGCCATGCATTTGTTTTGAACGATGGAAACAGCAAGAAACTCAGACCGCCTTGACTCAGTAACAGTTAGAGGGCAGCCTTTTTATACGTGAAGATGCAAGAACTACCGAACTGGTTCACTGAGCCCAGCAGCTCAGGAGCTTAACTCAAAGTAGACACAGCAGTTGACTCTTTGGAAAGTCTGCAAAAATAAGGCAATCATTGGGTCTAACCCTTTAATTTGTTTAAGGCCTGCTGCCTACTTGTTTCATTGCATACCTCCAGTTTTCCACTTTTGATAAATAATGAATAATTATTCACTTTTGCAGTTCTATTCATATTGCTTTTGCCTCCAAAAATTCCTTTTCCAATCTAAAAAAAAAAAAATCAGGCTTATTCTTTTCTTGAAAGAATAAAGTTTTTTATATATCTGCCCATCTTTGACAGCTTGCTCTGCATCCTTCTTTCACCTGCTACTGAGATAGAATATCTGCCATCAAGATAGAATGATGATCATCCCAGAGGTGTCAGGATGGGTTCAAAGCAAAAGCTTTCCCAGCTGAAAGCAAAATGTTGGATTAACACTGTAGGGAAATAGAAACAAGATTTGAACAATGATTTTGCCTGAACAAAGACAGTTGTATGAAAGGCCTTGGCAAAAGTCCTGGCAAAAAATGTCAAAAATGACACATCTTTCTTCTATGGCAATATTTTACTATCTTAGCTGCTAGTGTTATCCTTGAGACAGATTAAACTGTACAAAGGCTTGGCTTTCACGTGTACTCCATTGGCTGCACTTGACCAGTTCGTTTCAGCTAAATCATAAATCCTGGAGGCCAATATGAGATGAGTAACTACAAAAAGGAAGCTGACTGTTAAAGAGTGCATAAATTCACTGTAGTGGGGACTAGTCTGTGTAAGAAAGTTGCTCTGGCATCCATATATCAAAAAAAGGTTGAAAATTAAGTTTAGGCTGGGCTCTTCCTGAGAAGGAATGAATGATGGTAAGAGGTCCACCAGAAATTAGTTATCTGTATTTTTTTTTAAATGGTGATCATGGCATGCAGCTGACTTCTAAAGCGGAGCTGATAGGGTGGCCTTCTAGCAACTTTGGTCTCCATAAATGCACAAAGACAGGTAGTTACATGCAACTGATGCTCCATCTGAAGTCCTCCAAGACATTCCTCTTCCTGAAGGCAAGACACTTAAAAAAAGGTTTCCAGCATTCATATATAACACATCAGTGGATTGGCCTGGCTGCCTAAAACAAAACACAGCCAAAGCTACTCAAAGATATGAGCCTTTGCTCCCTCTCACCTCCAAGCTGCGTGTTTGCAGAAGAAGAGAGGATAGGTGTCTTGTCTTCCTTGAAAAATCATGATTTTTATTCTTCCACATAATACAGGTAATTCTGAAAATGCCAGGCATGCACTCACTCCACAAGGATAATATTAGTTCAGTGAAGTAAGTCTTTGTGGAAAATCACTTTCATCCAGACCAGTATGCATGCATCCTGCCGAAATATCATTACATCTGTGGAAAAGCTGTTCTTCCAGAAGGTGAAAGAATGTCTGACACAGCCAGAAAAATCCACTGGATGGGAAGATGAAGTTAGTGAATGTAAAAGGAAAAAAAATCCAAAGTGTAATAGTTAATCTTTAGCAGAAATGTTCCTTGAGGTTTATGAATACTTGGCATCAGCTATAGCCAAGCAAAGGAAAATGACTGGTTGTATTTTTTTAATTCTGGGCCAAGAAGTAGACTACTGTGGTATTTTGGAAGGCTAAAACATTTTGATACCAGCTCTGCCATTTACAGATGTTTGTGGAATCAGAATATACAAATTCCTGACAAGACAGCAGGTATTTTCTTTTGTCAGCTTTGGGACTGACTAGACAGTCTTAGAGGCCTAACGAAAGCAATTCCAGATTGTGAGTGTGACTGACAGTCTTTAACATCAGTTCCTCAAGAGATCAACTCAACTGAAGCATTAAATTTAGGACTGAAACAGCTGCTAATACTTGGATCTTCCCTCTAACCTCTTTTTCCCCACCAGGATCAGGGAAGGCAGATCATTTACCACCTATAAACCAGAAGTTACTGGTCTTAAACCTTATCTGCCCAGACAGTTGACAAATTTACAGGGGACGGAGGAGAGGGATGAAGGTTGTTTTAAACAAAACAAAACAGTAAACTGGAAAAGATAAGTACATCCTTCAGAAGGGGGACTAAAACTGCACAGCTGTTGTAGCTGCCCCTGCACCCCCTCTTTATCTTAAGGGGATAACAGGGAGTGGGAATGCTCTATAGATAAGGATGACTCACATACCTCCTAGAAATACATAAATTTAAGAAGCACGCTTTGGAATCATGTTTAACAAAGAAAATGGTCAGGACTTCCTAATATCACACCCAGCTCACCAAGTGAGGGAATACTTTTACACAGTGAAAGTTTAATCAAGCAGCTATTTTTATTTATTGATTGTGCCTTCACTGCAGAAAAACTGCAGTAAAAGTAGGCCTATTTGTCAACCTGAAGCAAATAATTGTAATTTTACTCACTGGACTGCTACCAGATTCTTTTACAGTTTGGGGCTGAGTTTATACTCTCAAAGTTTTAACTAAATTAGAATGACTTTTACAAGTGCTACAGCAGCTATTGGAGCTCCAGCCATGAACTACTGTCCCCACAAGCGCAGAAGACTTAACATTTTGTTTCAAATCAGAATGACCTTGGGTTGGAAAAAATATTTCTAATAGTCCTGTAAATCTGTCCAACTTATGACCCTTTTAAAATCACTACAATAAGTTCTCAGAAGTAAAAATGGCAACCATGTATTTCTGAAGTAGAGAGGGAAGCATCACAGAGTCTGTCCCTGACTCCCTATACTCAGCTTATTTAAGAGACTCCCATAGACCAACAAAAATCTGGCTATTAAAAAAAAAATCACATTATAGCTGTTGTAATTGAAAGCAGAACCTGGGAAAGTATATTGAGTATATCAGTATGAATGTTACTAGAACGTGCATTTTTACAACTTTCATTTTCTGAACTACTTATTGATTATTCAGGTGGCTCTTTCAAAATCAGATTATCATGTTCTCTTGAACAGTAATTCTCATTCACCACCATCTGCTTTATAAGCATGTCAGGCAGATTAGCTGCATGTTTCTGCTGTTAGTATTTTATATCTAATAAAGCCCAATAATCACTGCTTAGCTTTTTCAGAAACAGGTTTAAAGCTTCTTTTTGTGCTATCAGTCTAATAACTGTATTTATAGAGATTATTTTAAAAAAAGTGAAATTTAAGTACCTTTCCTTAATTGACATAGTTTTGCTGGAATTATCAAGGACATCCTCAGTTGTTTGTGCTTTGTTCTCTCCAACGGAAAACATTTCACAGGAATTCTTATAAAATTTGCCTTCCAATTGTTCGGAGAGCTCCTGCAGTCTACAGGATGCCGCAGCTGCAGTTTGTGAAACTGTCCTCATTGCTGATGTGCTGGTGAGTTCAGAAGTAGGCTCAGCATGGTCTGCCCATTTAAAAGAGAAGTGCTGAATTAGACTTAGTGCCATTCTCAAACTTATTTTACATTACTAACACTGAAGCAGCAAATCTGGTTTTTAACATTCAAATCACATGCTAACAGAGAAAAAAATTCTGGCTGAGCCAGAGTACAAAGATTAATCGTGCAATATTGTCTACTGCATAGAACGGCTGTTTGTGACTGAAGTTCACATGAAGCCACAGAATATCATGTTCAATACACAATTCTGAACTTCATATGAATGAGCCACAAACTGTTGCTCCTGTCATCACACCAACAGGAAAACAAATGGGCAGATGAAAGTGAGAAGGGAACAAAGAGTAGGGGAAGAGAAGCAGACAAAATTTAAATAAGAAATTAACTTATTGGTAAAGCAGTTTAATGCATAAGTAGCATACCAGGAGGACATTTAATAGCTTAATAAAGGTATTATTTTCTAGGAGGGTGTTGGGAGCTTTTTTGGTTTTGTTTTTTCAAGTAGCAATTAAACCATAGGAAAAATTGCCTTAATGAAAGATAAATGCACCATTACAGTTATCCTTAAGGAAATATAAGTGATCTTAATTTTTCTTTTTGAAATTTTACAAGCACAACACCCCTCTGATACATGACTGCTCCTGTTTTATCCCAATCTCCGTCTCCTCTGCAGTCACCAAAAGTTAATTGGATAGAACAGATGCTGCTTTTGAGGAATACAGGCAGAACTATACCTCCCTCCCTATGCCTGTTCAAAGCCCATTACACTCAAAATGAATTAACTTCACAGGATGAAGACAAAAATGCTTCTAGCACTACAGGGTACTATGATCCTCTACCCCATCATAATAAAACAGAAAATTAATACAACATCCTTCTAAATTCAACAGAATAGAAGGCTTTATGCAGTGACCAAATTGACTGTTTCCAAAGCACTTTATTTAAAAATGGGTGAGTTTCCTTATTAAGTTTGAATTATGCTGTGCATATAGAAATGTAATTGCTCTGAGAATTACTTAGTTTATATTTCATCACCACATTGAAGAGAAAATAATAGTAGTTTTGCAAAATTAGTTATCTGAAAATTATCCACTAATAGCTATATATGTACATATGTAATTAATATATAACTATATATGCATAAGAAGGCAAGAATTAAGAGCAGACACTTGACCCAGAGCAGCAAGTTTAGCTTGTTCAGCATTTTGGAGGGCAGGGGCAAGGGCAAAAGAGGAAAGGATAAATCTTAGCTTCAGCATATAATACCACTTCTTTCAAAGTCAGAAAATCTGAATAAAATTGAGCCATCTTTAAAGGCTGAAGGATTGAAAGAATAACAAAGAGAAAACTCTATTTGTAAAACTTAAGATTTCACAGGTATTTCTCTACTTTTAAGCAGTGTTAAAAATAGGAAACATAACCAGCCTTGATAATGCTTGAAATGAAGATATTTAAAACTAGAGAAACACCATTGTTTGCGGAACGAGACTACACTAATAGCAAATTTATACTGCACCTCTTTGCAAAGTCTTGCTTTTCATAACACTTTCCAAATCCATCTTTTCTTCAAAGGACTGGCCTCCTTTGACTTCCCATTTACCTTGCATGCCAGTATCGATGTCTTTCTGTTCAAGAGGTTGAAAAAGTGCTTGTGAACTAAACAGTTCCATGCTGCCCTTCCTCAGGAAGCTGTATGTTGTCTCTTTATGGTAGTCTCCTGTTTTTTCAGGAACAGGATGTGTGGTTTCTTCCTCAAAGGAGCTGTACTTTGTAATTTCATTAGCTTCATGTGCTAGAAACCTCTTTCTCTCTTCTTCATGCTTCTTTGATGCTCTTTTGCTTTCTAGCACTTCCATTGAGGGCTGCCACTGTTCTGACTTCTGTGTGCGTTTTCCTGAAGAGTCTGAGTTTTCTGCTGACGAGTGGAATCTCAAATCAGCTCTAGCAGCAGCACTCATGCTTCCATCACTAGCTGGCTTCGTGTGCAGGTCTCCAGCATACAATGGAGAAAGAGCAGATGCCATTGTTGAAACTGATGTTGCAACTGCAGTTGACAGGGGAGTAATTTTTCCACTTTCATTTTGTACCTATGAACAACAACAACAACAAGGCTTAAAAGCTCTGAAATCACCAATTCCCAAAAACAGTCTAATCACGTCAGTTCTTCAGAGGTGTGCTTCCATATGAATATAGCGCTCTATAATAGACTAGAAACGGATAAGGAGAGCAACAATGCCCCCATAATTTGGCTGCAGATGGATTATTCCACCCAGGGCAGAAACGACTGCATGTGAACAGCAACATCTTTAGTGATAAAAGGTGTATGTGTAGCATGCAACATGACGTTGCGTTAGGGCTCCATGAAACGGCTCATACTGGCATGATACTGTGCAGCACTGGGGGAAGAAATCAGTTCAGGTTCCAGACGCCGGATGACATGCCATGTGCCCAGGCTAATCAACTCTGCATCTCAGCAGGACTAATTAGCTTTGGCACAGCTCTGCTCCGATACGGTTATGCAGCTTCCAACTCTGGAGCTAGCTCAGCGCCAGAGAGACACTATGCTCCATGCTGTCCTACATGGGGCAGACATTCCTGACGCTTTTGCCACATAAATCACCTTCACACAGGACTGTTAGTCTAAGACTTTTTCAAATATAAACACTGGCTGTCTTGTACATCTCTGAGCAAAGTCTTTGAATCTAAGAAGTGTATTAAAAAACTCCTCCAAATTTGCTTTGCTGGCCTCTACAGTAGAACAATTACCTTTTTTTACTCTTCTAACATAATAATTTTATACAGTTTTCCTAGAGGCAGTTAAGATGTAAATTTTTTCTGAAATGCAGACCTTGGCTTTGTCTTCTTCAAAGGAGACAAAAGCTATGAAAGAGACTAACAAACATGCCTCCATACACATCAGGAGAGGTTTTTTGTTTGGCTTTTTTGTTGTTTTCTTAAACTGCAGGGCTAAGAAACAGCGTGCAAAAGGAATAGACACAATCACACCAGTAGGAGGAAATCAACTGAAAACTTAAAATGCACATGCCAATTCCATAGAGCATGGACAACACATTCATTAAACAAATTGGAAAGCAGAGCAAAGATTAATAAACTAGCTCAAAGATTCCAAAGAAAGATTAAGAAAATAGTTCCAGTTTACTCTTTTTCCATTGCATGTATCAGAATTAGAAATTTAGAGATCAGCAAAGGGATTTATTTCAGATTTAATTACAAGATATTTACATTTGCAATTACATATTTTGGTAGCATAACCTCTTAGTTATCTATTTTGATAACTTTCTTTTGTTTCTCCCTTAAAAAACTGTAACTGCATCTGAAACCATCCCAACACTCCAAGTGAACAGTTCACTATAGAAAGTCTTTTTGAAAACACTCTATCATTGAACCCATCTTTTGCTAGGTTCAGGAGATGACAAAACATGCTTCCTCTGTGTTTCCTTGCTTGAAGAGCAAATTTGTTCTGTAAAAGTCTGACAAACTAATGCGACTGTCACTTCTTTCCCATCTGCTTCAGCCCATTTCTGCTGATCACCTTCCTGGCCCCCAAACAAGTTAGTGACACCGCCATCAAAGAGGCCAGGCTGTGACAGTGGTTGCATGTGGAAAATAAATGGAAAGAGGACTATGTAAGGTCTGGAAATAAATTTGCCAAATATTTACTACTACTTCATGCCTAAGTAAAGTAGGCCTAAAGTACAATTATAAACTTGTACAGCTTTGCACCAATATGGGTAGAGAAATCCTGCCTTCTCACTATTCTATTATTATAATATGGAAAATGTATAATCATGTATGAAGCATATAGAAAGAGAAGGGCAGGAACTTTCTAACACTCTGATCCAAATCCCTAGAAATACGACATGCTTAGGACTTGTGTTTCACTGTTAAAGTGATTTCTTTTACAGCTGCAATACTAAGGGACTGATGTTTCTGCTATTGTGAACATCGGCTCTGAAAGACCACTGCTGGGCCTTCTTATGCTCAAACTTCACTAAAAAGGCATTCCTTCACAGTTCCAATTATATGAAGGATTCCAGAACAGGAAGCCAAATTCCACTGCACATATTACATAATTTCATTTTGACCATGAGTTTCTGAATTTCAAAAGTATTCTACTTTTAGGAGAAAAAAAATAAAATCATCAATGTCCCCTCTCAGGGGAAAAGGACATACTATGTCCTGACTAATAATGGAAATATACAGCAGTTTCAGGAAGGAGTCTGAAAGTTGCACATGACAAAGCTCAAAAATTCCCTAAAAATACATCTAAAGCAGGATGATATGTATCACAGTTTTTACCCCTTTGGTCAGGAATTTACTTTTAGAAGACATGTAATATTCTACCAGAACAGACAGAGGCTGTGAAAGGTACAGCATGCACTAATCAGGAAGATGATACACTCTTGAATTACTTAAAAAAGAAAATTACACCAATGAAGTTGAACATTTGAGAGGATGTTGTTCCTCAGTGTCAGAAGACTGCTTCCTGACAAGCTTTTTCCTGTGAGCATGTCATGACCCTAGTGTGTAGCTCAGCCAGCTGTTATGACATCTTTACTTTGAAATTGTTTTCTCCAATAAAAAGAAACAAATGAAAAAGAGCCAAGATTGCACTTACCTGCTCAACTTCTCCAAGAGTGACTGGCTGAGTCTGGTAACGAGCATTCATTCTCCTGTGCCTAATATCTCCTCGGCTCCTTGTGGAAATGGCCCTGGATACTGGTTGAGACAGTTTGTTAAACAAAGCCATCTTTTCTGCCAAACTTAAGGTGGAAGAATCTGGTTCATCAGACTGATCTTGCCCCATCGCCTCTTTGGCTGCCCTTATCTCCTCTTTAGCTAAAATTTTTTGGTGTGCTGATGCCTGCAAGCTGAAGAAACAGAACTGGAAATGAGTTTTGAAAAGCCCTTATGAAGTTTTAAAGTCTCAACCTGAGAGAAGCAGAACTGCACATGAAGCACAATAGCCAATGTAATATAGCAGCCTAAGTGGTTATGCAGTGGTTCAACATTGGCATGATGATTTCTAATTCAACAGCTGAAGATTTAAAAAAAGTTAAATTTCCATTCACAAATCCATGTGATTAGGACACAACATTTTTTTTAAAAGAGAACTCAAGATTGAAGAGAGGTTTTTTCAGACCAATCTCTTTATACAGAATACAGAGCTATGGAAAGACGTTTGAGATGCCTGCTGTAGAACAAACATGGGTCCTACAGTGCAATTTATGTAAAATTCAATTTTATTAGAAATAATTTGTGGAGCGTATATGATAAAAACATTTAAAAGATGGATTTAAACTCCAAGTTAGTGCTGCTTTTAGGTTAGCATAAAATGTAATGTCTCTTACAATTTGAAGTGGAAGAGAATTCAGGTAGTCTTTTGTTTTGAGTTACCTGGAGTTACTCAACAACAAAAAATAATTTTTAAATAGATGCCATTAATTTTGAAGATTGCTTGACCAATGCTGAAGGCAGACACATTCATTCATAAAAGCTGTAACTGCATTTGTCTCTACAATAATATATTTTATTCACCTCTAGCTAGATCCAGCCACATTTATGGAATTAGTAGTATTCTCTTTTTTCTTTTTTTTTTTTTTTCTTTCATGGTCTTTGCTAAAATTCTGTCATTCAGAACCGGCAAACACTATTCTGCAACTTTACCTATAGGTGGTGCAATTTCTTATCTTTCCTTTAATTTTGCAAGCTAAAAAAATATATGTAGAGACAGACAAAGAGGATATGTACTGCTTGTGAAATCAAGCACCCAGCTTTGGTATTTTCATCTCAAGATGACATTACTGTATAAAAAAGGTACAAGAGCAAAGAGGGTTCTGCTAGGTTTGCTCACATGCAAATTCATTTCTTTCACAAAGAAGAAGAATATGTTTCTAGAACAGGTAAGTGTGTTAGAAAGGTCCTGAAAACAGATGCTTGACAAAGTAAAAGCTTCATTGTTTTATCATGCAAACATAAAAGTTGACAAATGTTGTAAATATTCTTGAAACGAGTATTGACTTGACACATTGAAAAGGCATTCAAGACTTTAAAGATGCATCTGCTATTGAGGAATCTTGTGCTCCATGTAACATGCATGTTTATCCCCCCCAGTACCTGATAGGTTGTACAGTGCTCTTAACTACAGTGGGACTAGGTACTCTTGTCACTACTGTGTGGGTATTCACAGAACGTGAAGCAGGGGTAGATTCACTTTAAAGAATTGCCAAGGAGGGAAAATTCACAGGGAGAGAGAAGAAAAAAGCATTAAGAAAAGCAATACATTAAGTGTTAACTACAGAAAAGACCAAAACCAAACCAAAACAAAACAGAAAAAAACAAACAGCAATGATTTTTAATTAACTGAGTTATCTGCTGCAACCTTTGCAAAATAACTTCAAATACTTTGAAAAAACTAAAACCCTAGAGGAGCAAACAGGTTGTCTCTTGAAGTTACTCATTAACCATGACATAAGCTATCTTTTAGTAGATCATTAGGCGAACATCCATTCACCTTTGTTTAATTTTCCCAAAAAATGACTTTCCTTTTTTTTTTCTTTAGGAAAATTTCATGATGTGTGACCAGAGTGCAAGAAATGCATTTCCAAAAAGTACATTTGAGATTTCACAGTGTAAAAGATTTTCCCCAATACAAGTACATTCCATAAGAAATTGTGCAGATTTCCCCCAGCGCAAAGTATCTTTTTCATTTGAGTCACAAACCAAGGCTATGATTAATCCCATTTACCTAATCTACAGGTTCATAAGCTTTCTGCCAAATTACAGTTCATACAAGTTATGGTTTACTAGTCCCTCTACATCTAAAAGGAATTTCAATATAGCTTCCCCTGTGGTTCATAAGGAAGTTGACCCTTAACAATAAATGTTTTCCTTGCTACAAAGTTGTAAAGACCACATATATGGAACTTATTCCCAGATTTAAAACCAGGAACAAAAGTTGGAGTTGACATATGCACAAGACTTACGTAGCTGCAATGACCACTTCTTCACTGGTAATTGGTTGTGTGTGCGATCTATCCTGCAAACGCCGCAGCCTTCTCTCTACTGCTGAACTTCTTGTAGGTGGTTTAGGAATATTTTTCATTTCAAATGATTTTTCCATTTCCTAAGAGCACATATGTCATAATTAAAACCATGGAAGAAATGTTCTAAAACAGTACTTTCTTTTTAGCGTTCTTGCATGCAAAGTAGTAAATTTACCAAATGCCCATCTCTGAAACAGAAGCAAGATGTAATGGCACAGTAGGCCTCACGGAGTTAAAACTAACTACACATGATGTTCTTAAAAAAGGGTTTAGAGCAACAGGTCTACTGTGTAGGTAGGCAAGATGAAGTAAAAAAATTATGTAGCATGGACTTGGTTAACTGCATTACACTTCCTTCTAATGCACTTTGGGTTCTTCAGCATCTTGTATATGAAACGTTTAATTCAGTCTTCTATTAAGAAAATGTGATACTTACTCTAAAAAGCAGCCTCTTTGCAGCTACGCTTAGTTTGGCTCGGTCATCCAATTTTTCTTCATCTACACAAAGGGGAAAAAAAAAGGAGGCTGAATGTAATGAATCAAGCTCATATTAAGTGCAAGAGTTTTTTTGACTAAATGATTTCTGAACTCATCAAAAATCATGTTTTACTAAGACAAGAAGCACCACCAGCAAATAAGCTGACTGTTACTCCCTTTTAACAAAAGACTTACCATGAATGAAATCGTGTAAACTTTACTTGTATTTACATGTATTGCATCAGAGAAAAATTCTTAACAGGATTTGAGAGCAAAAGATTTGTCTTCAGGACAGTTCATATGCTTTCAAGTTATCCAAAGAACTTTTATGAATAATCAAACTTATTATATTAGTCTATGATAACACATGGACTAAGAAGATCATTAGACTGAAAGACCGTCTTAAGAGTCAGTATTCACCCTGCTGTATAGAACATCTATGTTCTACCAGTTGACCATACAAGACGGTGTCTCGTGGAAGCTGGTCATTCTGATTACAACCTCATGTCCCCATTTCTCAGAGGCCCAACTGGTATGCTTAGGAGGTGAAATCAGCATCCTCCAGATCCAAGAGCCAGCATCTCAGAGAATCTCAAAGAATATCAGCTTTCAAATAGCATAAAGCATTAGATCTAAATTTAGCTGCTCATGAGATTGCCTACTTAATTTGTGCCAGACTTGCCAAGAGTGACACGAGGGCAAG